TTTTCAGCAATTACTGCTGGGTTGCCGATCGTTGATGCTGCTGTTGGATTGAAATCGTCTTTGGGTATCGTTTTCTGCTGCTTCAACTTTTCTCGGAGCTCGGATTCGTACGATGCATGGATCAACAGACCCACCACTTCATGTGCTGGGAAGTGTACGTCTATCACGCGTTCTTGGTCGATCTGCAACAGTTTCAACGAATGACGCACTTCGCGGTGCGTGACCCGTCGTGGCGTGGGCAAATACACGACGACGTAGCCGTATTTGTCGCTTGCTGGCTGGAATAGGCGTTGTGCGCGCTCGATTTGTTTAGGGGAGGGGGGTACCATCTTCTTTTGCTTTGGGGCAACGTGTTTTGCAGCGACTTTGGCGTACGACGACTTGGCCGTTTTTGCAGTCGACTTTTGTTGTTGCTGTTGCTGTCCTGGTTGTTGTTTCTGCTGCTGCTGCTGCTGCTGGGGTTCGATTTTCTTGAACTGTTGCTCAAGACGACAGGCTCGTTGTTCTTCAAGACGCTTCGTTACTACTGCTCGCTCTTGTTTGCGTCGTTCGTATTCTGCATCCGTTAGTGCCCAATGTGATTCACGTGCCCCAGTTGGGTCAACTTCCATGCCTTCGACAGGATGATCCGCAGGTGTTACGGTGGGTGCTTCTGCTGTTGTTGCACGTTGCATAGCATCCTCAAGGTTGGCGATATGGGCATTAGCCTCTTCGAGTTGCGAGCGGAGCTGTTGATTCTCAGCAATTAAAGCATCCATTTGCTTTAATTGCTCCTCGGCGTTGTGCATTCTTCTTTCGTTCGTGGTGATGCGGGTCTCCATTTCTTCGAGACGAGCCAAGAACGAAGGTTGCTGGCGTGGTACTGCTGCTGCTGAGGCGACTGAGGCGATTGACAAGGATGATACCATTGAGTGGTCTGATGCCTGGTCAGCCCAATCATCATCCTGTTGTTGCTGGATTTGCTGTTGTTGCTGCTCGTGTTGCTGCTGTTGGCGCTGCTTATAGACCGCGTATATGCCCCGTGTTGCGAGGCGGCTATTTTTGGCGGTACGCGGTGTTGTTGTCGATGTTGTTGTGTCCCGTCGGGTGATGCCGCTAGCATGTGGGCTTGGCGAACGGGAAGTATTATTGGTTTTGTTCACACGTTCAGAACGACGAAGGCTAGTGCGGACGCCGCTCATTGGTGCGATAACGGGAATGCGGGTTAAGGTACGCGTGTTGGTGATGGCGGTGTGTGTTGTGTTTAATTTGCTTTGTGCAAGCACGTTGGTAATTTCGGGTTGATTAATTTTGTATGACAGCGTGGTTGGGCAGACGGAAAAGGTAAGTGTTGGGGCGGGATTCGAACACACGACCTTTGGGGGAGTGGGTTGAGAAAAGTATAAAAAGAGGTGCTTTTCACCGCGCGCGATGCTCGACAGATGTCTCTCCGATCTTAGCTCAGTTGGTAGAGCGGGAGACTGTAGTGCGCTGTTATCTCTAGGTCACCTGTTCGAATCAGGTAGATCGGAATGCTTACACCTATGAGTTGTAATTTTTTTTAAAAAAAATATTCTCCTTTGTGTAACCTTGTTGTAGCAAATGGCCGACCTTTAATTACCGTTATGGCGGCTCGACACTTTTGTCATGCGCAAACAATTACACCATCAATAGAATACTGCTGCGTTATCATCTGGTCGACGTGTCAGAAGAACAAGTTTCAGAGCTATCTATGCAACAGCAGACACTGTTGTGGTGTCATAAACATTGTTGAACCTCTACTAAGTGCTCATCCTCAACCTCGATGATCACATATTAAATCCCCTCATATAAATGTCGTTAATCATCATCATCTGTTTATTCACTTTATTAAATCCAATAGTAGAAGATTTATATATAGTATAAGTCTTCTTTGAATAATAAAACATCAGTCAGTATTGATCTTGTTCCTTCTTCCCTCATCATCTGGTCTCCTACTCTCAGGTTTCCTTCTTGTCTTGTCTGTTCTTACTGATACTGACAGCACCTAACACATTATTGTCCGGTACTTCTGTCCTTATCTTGACATAATACGACCCTGTTACACCTGATACGAGTAAGACTTCTATAGTGCGACCATTGCAAGCCATTGGGGTACTACAGTGTTTAGTGCTGGTAAGTCTGAGGATTTTATTGGAAGCAATGTTTCAAAATATTGGCTATTTGCTGCAATGTATAAGGTGTGGACGGGAACAAGACAAGACAAGGATAGGAAGACCGGACAAGATCGCGTTAAGTGCTTTCAGCAAGAACAGGACAAGGCAACAAGGAAACCTGAAGGTAAGAGACCAGATGATGAGGGAAGAAGGGACAAGTTACAGGCAGGAAAGAAACAAGATAACTGGCTGATGTTCATTATTTTAAAGACTATGGTATATGTGTATATCTTTAACGATGGGAAATAATAATGTGAATAAATGGAAAGATTGGTATCAACGTTGATAAGTCGGATGATGATGATTAACGATATTGATATTGGGGGATTTAATATGATCAGCGACGTTGAGGATGATAATCAGTACAGGTCGAGGAATGTTCATGACAGTCGCTCCCCAAGTGGCGAGTTCATTACACACTCGCTCTGTGCCTGGCCGCGAGGCAGAGACGATGGCAGGATAAAACAACATGACCATTGATAAACAAGCTCTTTTATCACTTAATGCACAAGTTTTATCACTTAATGCACAAGGATATAAACACCAAACCAAGGCTTACGTCGTTGACACCAAGGTCGAGCTCATCGGTATTTATATTTTGTTTATAGACTCTTCTTTCATCCTTATTTCTTTCTCTCTCTATTTTCTGAAGCAAACACTAGATCCATTTGAAGACTCAAGCTTAAAGAATATTACTTGCCCTACAACAGACTCGTGCCAGATCAGCTGCTATTGAAGAAGTACCTTCATACAGTCATATGCCCAAATCTGTCACAGACGACAACAACAATAGTAGCACCGACGCGGACGGACACAAGACTGTTCAACAAGCAACTGTCCAAGGACAAGAAATTTCAGCAAGGCAATATTAACGAAGACGTAGAGATGGCTGAGCAACTGGGTCCCCTGCAGCGGGCTGTGTCCCTGGCCTCTCAAGTTGTATTTTTGGAGCTGGAGTCGACTTATATCCCATTAAAATTGAGATTTAGGAACGCAATCCACTTTCAGTGTACACAACAATGAACCTCGCACAATTCTTTGTAAAACTCAACATTTCATCCAAATCATATCTCAAGCACTATATATTGTCGTAGCAAAAATGTCCGACCTATAAATTACTCAGTATTGGCTGTTCATCACTTTTGTTATGCAACAAACAACTATACCACTAACAGAATACCGCTGCGCTACTATCCGTTGACATCGTACTAACGATCACACTAGTAATGCATAGAAGATGGCCAGACAGGATTCGACAGCATCATAACTGTATCTTATTATATTGTTGTGTCATGCAGCAAAAATAAGCAACGACAATAGCTGCTGCAGCATACTTGGAAATCCTACAACGTCCCGTGACCTAGCGCATCGTCAATGGCTGTGTCGGTCTTGAATACGCCCATCGTTGTGGTTTCTCTTGCAAGGATTTGTTGATGACTCGGCACAAGACTCATAGTACTGGTTGCACCCATTATATTTTTACAATGCGCTGTATCAGTGAGCTGTGACGAGAACGATGCGGCTTACAAGTGTATGTAACTTAATATTTTGGGCACACCACAATAAGATGATGGTAGAATAACAAGATAATTATACGGTGTAGATTGGTTTGCGCCAGCTGACGGCTTCGATTGATCAGTCCTGCGTTTACCGCATTGGCCGTCTGTTTCCTTACTACACTAGCCATAAAGATACAGTATCACCAATCATTATCAATGTTGAATTGGTTTGCTTGTAGAACATAAAGGCGTTAATTCGTACTAACCAGTAATTATCGCTTGTCGAATCATATTTACGCTCCCCCTATTCAGCAAGTATTTCTTTCGCTGGCAATGAATTTCAAATGACACATCCATATGCAAGAACAAATAATTCTGTTCGTTAATATCATCCCATCGTTGCGCGATTCGAAGATCAATATCTCAATTTTATCGTCCGGACACCACAGTGCGGATTTAAGTACTGGTTGATACCAATCGCTGCTCAAACATCAAGCGCTCTATTGTAACTCTGGACATTTATGGAGCAGAGTATTTTTGTAAACCACAAGACTCAAACGTTGTGCTGTTTCTACTAGAATTTTTGCTCTCAGGTATGGTCGTCTCGTCGAACACATTGGGTGCCATTCGTACACAATAATACCAGAATGAGTGCTGCGTTCTTTCTTGATAAGTACGCCTTACACTGTAGTAGCTGTGAAAGTCACAGCATACTAGATCACCAGCGCAAATGGCTTCGCAATAAATGATCTAGCGATAAGTCTAGAAAATTGCCACAAGTGAGACATATGGATACATTGTTAAATACACCCTTTCCTGCAAACATGAAATGCCTGCAAACTGTGATTTATATCCACAAAGCACCAGTAAATAAATATAATAGAAATTATCGCACCACGCTTCTTTAATGTAAAGCACAATTAGGTTGTGGGGAAGCGAATGACTTCTGGCGTATACATTAGTTTAGTGAAGTGAAGCTATATATCGTATGAGCTTTATCATGTCAACTCAATGACCGCATGGAGCTGTGCTCCTTTTGTTTCTAGATACGTTGAACCTGCCATGGATAAACCAATATAACTCAATTTCATATTATAGTTTCTTTATTCTTCCATTATCAAACATTTTAAAGTACCTAACCACACACGTCTCTTCTAAACTATCGTAATATAAGAAAGGTTAGGATTATTCATATTTTCTTCTGTTAAGGTAAGACAGAGCATATAGTAATAGCTTTAATAATAATTACGGCGACCAGCACCGCGAAATGTTTTTTATTCAACAGGTATAGTTATTCTTTTTGTACAAATGTAATTTGAATGTGTGTTTACGAGGAAGGACAGAAAGTGACAGTGTAGCCTTCGGCCCGACACATAAAAGTGCTGGTCGGGTCATCGTAAGCATACGTGTATACATCAGGGCAGGCATCCTTGACGTCCTTGCTGTACTCGTTAGCTGGACAGGTTTCAGGCGTATCCATGCTACCGAAGCAGCAGTATTCCTCAGTGTTGAACTCGGAGCAGGCAGACTTGCATCCGACTTCCTCGCCATTGTCCATCACCTTGAGTTCGTCGGGGCACGCGGGCAAGCTGGAGCAGGTAGGAGCGCCGCAGAGATAGTGCTCGCCGTTGTCAGCGCCTCCGCTCTTATCACCGTTAATTGGATCAATACGGATAGGGATGTTGTAACCGTCGACGAACGAGACATCATAATAGTCATTATTGCCGTAGCCCTTGAAAGTGAATTCGGCCAAAGAGGCTGGGTCGGCTGCGCCAGCAGTAGGGTTTTCATCACCGGCTTCACGGCCCCAGAAACGGCCTTGCCACTTGGAATCAAGAGAGTAAGTCTTTGAGGCACCCTTTGCAACGTCAGCGGTTTCAGGAGAAGAGGCACCATTATCGAGCTTGCCAATGTTCAGATCATAGTCGCACTGGTTCTTAATGACAATCTTGACACCGCCACCAGAAGAGGAATCGGATGCGGGAGCAGCAGCGACAAGACCAAGGAGAGCAGCGACGGAGACCAATTTCAAAGATGTGTACATTGTTGTGATAGTGTTGTTATAGAAAAGGATGAAGTTTGTTTCTTTGCCATCGAAGGTTGTGCCTTTTATACGTTCTCGGGCTTTCCGATCAATTTCTGTATAGTAGATGCGGACGAATAAGATTTGATATGGTTGTGAAACATATGGTACCTGAAGGTACAGCTAACAGCCTATGACGAGAGGTTATCCGGAACATATATAGCACAGAGCGAATGGCGTTGTCTTTCTCCCATTCGAAACATATATTTTGTAATCAAACTGAAACTTAAAGAGTTTTTCTTCTATTTCTGAGCTATGTGATTGCTTATTTCGAATATGATCTTAACACTGAGCGAATGGATGCCACTGATAATGGCGGGTAACTGTAGAATCAGGTACGGTTTTAATCTAAAACGTACAATTGAGGTACCCGATCCAATTTATTCTCAAACATATGATGGAAACAACTACAAAAGTAAGTTGGAAATACAAGAGGGTAATAGTAAGTGTAGCATCTTAGAACCATGATAAAAATGTATACAATTTACCGCTCGCAAAAAAAAGAGGCCATGCGCAGTAGGCTGAGCAATGATGATCGACACTAAACTATTTTGGTGTAGCGATTGGAGACCTGGGATATGCGCACAGATTTGCAGCATGGACGTAGTAGGTTATTAGATTTGGCAGGCATCTATTTTTTTTGTTCGCGGTTATTAATGAACCAGTTTGTTTCTCGATTTGACACATGATTGAATTACTCTGAGTTGCTCAGCAGAACAATCTCTTTGAAACAATTACCTAACCATTGTTGTAATCAGCTTGTAGCTGCAATTCGGCGGCAGCCAATGGCTTACATCGCGTTAGTGGTGCCTAGGTTCAATTACACATATTAATACGAGTCCTACATCACAGAAACAAGCTGTGGCCAGAAACAATGATGGTTTCAATTTTGGCTACAAAATATATGTTTCGAATGGGAGAAAGACAACGCCATTCGCTCTGTGCTATATATGTTCCGGATAACCTCTCGTCATAGGCTGTTAGCTGTACCTTCAGGTACCATATGTTTCACAACCATATCAAATCTTATTCGTCCGCATCTACTATACAGAAATTGATCGGAAAGCCCGAGAACGTATAAAAGGCACAACCTTCGATGGCAAAGAAACAAACTTCATCCTTTTCTATAACAACACTATCACAACAATGTACACATCTTTGAAATTGGTCTCCGTCGCTGCTCTCCTTGGTCTTGTCGCTGCTGCTCCCGCATCCGATTCCTCTTCTGGTGGCGGTGTCAAGATTGTCATTAAGAACCAGTGCGACTATGATCTGAACATTGGCAAGCTCGATAATGGTGCCTCTTCTCCTGAAACCGCTGACGTTGCAAAGGGTGCCTCAAAGACTTACTCTCTTGATTCCAAGTGGCAAGGCCGTTTCTGGGGCCGTGAAGCCGGTGATGAAAACCCTACTGCTGGCGCAGCCGACCCAGCCTCTTTGGCCGAATTCACTTTCAAGGGCTACGGCAATAATGACTATTATGATGTCTCGTTCGTCGACGGTTACAACATCCCTATCCGTATTGATCCAATTAACGGTGATAAGAGCGGAGGCGCTGACAACGGCGAGCACTATCTCTGCGGCGCTCCTACCTGCTCCAGCTTGCCCGCGTGCCCCGACGAACTCAAGGTGATGGACAATGGCGAGGAAGTCGGATGCAAGTCTGCCTGCTCCGAGTTCAACACTGAGGAATACTGCTGCTTCGGTAGCATGGATACGCCTGAAACCTGTCCAGCTAACGAGTACAGCAAGGACGTCAAGGATGCCTGCCCTGATGTATACACGTATGCTTACGATGACCCGACCAGCACTTTTATGTGTCGGGCCGAAGGCTACACTGTCACTTTCTGTCCTTCCTCGTAAACACACATTTAAATTACATTTGTACAAAAAGAATAACTATACCTGTTAAATAAAACATTTCGCGGTGCTGGTCGCCGTAATTATTATCATCATTGTATTGTCTATATTCTAAAGCGAGGCTGAAAAAGAAGTATGTTTGAGTGCTCGCATTAAAAGTATGCACAACGAGATATCTTCTCATTACTATAGCAGATTCGCATACGGAATAAAACTTATATTGCAGGGAATGCAAATACGGCAAGTGGCAAGGAGTGCGTAAATCTTTCTTGAGATTGCTTATTCAAGAGTCCTATTAAGCAATTGAATATATCTAGATATAACTAAAGGCACAATGAGTACCCGATAGACTCAAATATAATCATGACGATTACGGAAATAATCTTGAAAGGGAAATTGTAAGAAAGAGTATTTTATATTTAAGTCTACCATCACGTAGTTTTTAAAATTGCTATAACAGCAGTTGGTGATGATTGTCAATTTATAATATCATCGGTTTAATCATTACTCTTAGCACTCGCCATGAGAAAATGTAATTCTTTGCACAAGAAACTATTTGATACAACTGACTTAATCATATGATGACCGATCGCTACTAGTGCCATACACAAATAATAAAGGGCCGGCAGAAGATATCTGTAACATAGCATAAAGGAAATCTCAGCCATTCTTCTACGCATGCGTACGATGCCAGTAGAAGTTATGTCTGTTAAGTCGTACTACATGCTCTGCGTAACGTACACTATTAGTATATTTTAAAAGCAGACCAAAAGGGTCGATGACCTAGCCAGCATTTTGTCATAATACGCTCACTGTCTCGCCGTAAGTTTCCTCATCGAGTTTAGTCCTTTGGTTTAAAACGACTTTTGACATATCGTATATAAATTATGATATCGTTGTCATATGTAAATCCTTGCTGTTGTTAGCCGATGTGATTTAATTTTTACAGTGCTGATACATTCTATTAAAAAGAAATCACTCGAATTTTCCAAGCGATTTTGGCAGAATGGTGAAGATAGCTCGCTTAAATTACGCAGTTCGCCATTATTACATCACGATTTGTGACGGTAACACAATCAACATTTTCCAGCAAAAATCTTATCGACTACACCTATAAGATTTTTATAAAGAATCTGCCTGCGTAACCAGCTGTAACAGATACATGACAATATTTTCCCATTTTTGACTCATGTTAACCATGTATACGGTATACCAGAAACTCTTAAAAACTCGCATGTGCCTTGTTCTCCATGACCTTCCCCAAATGTGGTCAAGTCATACCTGACCGAATTTAGCTAGTCGGATCATCACTTTGTTATTCGTTTTGCCACACACAATGACTAAATTTACTACACCTACTCCCGTAACCGTCGTTATCAATGATGATGGAATGAAAAAAAGAGCGAATCAATACTAGTAGCTTCTTTCCCAAACGAAGTCAAAAGGTTTTTAAGGGTCAGTTTGGAAGATCTGCAGAGAGAGTACCATGACGTTCTACTGACTTCGGTAACACTTCCCATTTTTAAACCTTAATATTCTGTTCGAGCCACCTGACATATTTTTGACCTTCTTGCATTTATGGTGCGAACGACAAGTCATCGTCATCATTGACATCACCGCATGAAAGGAGAAAGAATGTATATAAAAAGAAGGACATGTCTATCTGCTGGCCCAAATTTATTACTACATCGCATCTTATTAACAACACAACAAAATGGGCGCGGTTTTCTCTTGTCTCAATGGAATTATAACTTCCATTTCATCGTTGATTCTGTCTCTTATTAATGGCATTGCTGGTATGTATTATTCTCTAGAAAGTAACAAAAGCCGAGAGAAGAAGCCATTCGTAATGATTTGTATACTTAATTCTTCCCTTTAAATAGGCTTCGTTAGCATGATCATTGCTTCCATTACGCGGTTCATCACCGGTATCATTCGCGCTGTCGGTCGCTGCCTCTGCTGCTGTTGTCCGCCGAGGAGATAGTTCATCCCCGTTATAAGACGGGGATCTATTTTCTTTTCTGCAACCTGCATGTACATATTTATTATACGCTGCATAAAATATCAACAAATCCTGCAGTACTATATACATATATATATATATATATATATTTGTCGTCATTCCCTTCACCCTACATACTATACTCAGATATCTTTGTTAACCTCACACATCAGAAGTAAATTTTGCAATAAATAAGCGCATTTTGTACTATTTGACATTCTTCCTACTGGCATAAGTTATTTCTCTCTGCTACCACTGTTACAATATAACTAGCAAAGCATACATATCAACAGCTACTACTCCATGTGGTCTATTGATAATGGCACCAGTGGTCACATATAGATTGAGCAGTGAGTATTATGACTCATACCATGCCAGGTGTACTTATAACAAACGTCAGTCGGTTTTTCAAGCATAGGCATTTTGTATGCCAGTATGTTGGGTTCTATTTAAATATGCTCAAGAAAACGCGAAAACAAAGCACTGCATATGTCGTTGTTGCGTCGAGACACGTGCAAGCAATTTTTACTACTGATAGAGTCAACAAACATGAACGCGGCAGAAGATATATAATGGCAAAACACAGTACAATAAATCAAATCTTGGGATGGTTCAGAGTGTGTACCGAGCTCTGGTGCCTACAGCTGGCGGACTGTCTGGCTGTGTTAGTGAGACCGCAGGAAAATCATACCAACGTTGATTGGGCAAGAATGAGTTTGATGTGGGAAAAAATTCTTCAGGTATTTCTATAACCGAACGCTTAGTGACACATGAACCGTTTCACTGGATTTTATCACCAACAAAGTAGCACCACTAAGAAACTATGCTGGTGCAGAGGACTATCAGTAATTCTACGTAAAAGCTGGGAAGACAATATGCTAGTAATCTACATATGTGATCTATCGGACTATTACAAGAAGGTTACTTAAGAATGATGCTGACAAACTGGAACTGAGATATTTTTAATTCGCAGTGATAAGCTTCATATGACAATCAACAATAAGCGTGCATTGAAAGCCTTAGCGGAGTACTGGAGCCATGCCGCGGAACGGATCCACGGAATTACAAACCGAAATCATCTTTTTTCCCAACATGGATATGCGTTTTTTTTAGTGATGGTTTATTAAAAGAGAACGCGAGGAAAGAGAAAGAGGGAACATTAATATACACAAAATGAGGTTATTTTTCAAAGAGACGCAAATAAAGAGGAGAAGAGGAGGATAAGTGGGAATCAACAGATGTTTACAATGTATGGGAAGCGGTTGTGTGCGTGTGTAAAAATTGGGCGCTCTTTTTTAGGAGGGTTGTTGTTGATGTAATTTTCATGCTTTTGGCGAGGTCCAAAGGGGAGAGATTCCCACTTTATTTCTTGAACTGGTCCTCAGTGACACCCTTGCCCATGGCAGCAGTAGAGGCAACACCGCCAGTGACAATCTTCATGACGTTGTCGACATAGGTGGCACCAGACCACTTTTGATGCTGGAGAACGTCAACATCATGTGCACGCTCCTGGCGCTGGACGTTGTTGACATAACCGAACATGCCCTGTTGCTTGTAGGCGCGGGCGAAGGTAGCGGTGGCCAAGGCGTTGGCATGGAGACCACCCAAGGTGATGAATTGCCAGACGAAGCCGAGCTTACCGAGCTTGGCAACAAAGGTCTTAATCTCGTCATCGCTCATGCCAGCAGCATCCCTGCATTAACAGCAAATATTTAGAGTTAGACAACGAGACACAATACATTAAACTCCACTAGCACATGTGAAAGTCAGATAACATACCAGTTGAAGGAAGGAGACAAGTTGTAGCAGAGCAACGACTCGGGCGACTTGGACAAGACACCCTGCGAGAACTGCTCGGCCTGCGAGAGGATAGGCTTCTTGGTTTCCATCCACAACATATCGGCGTAGGGAGCATAAGCAACAGCACGCGAGGTAGCGGCTTCAGTGCCACCCTCGTAGCGGTAGTGGCCTTCACGAACACGAGGCAAATCCCAGTCCCAGAAGATATCAACACCATACGACTTGGCAATCTCACGAGCCTCCTTGTTAGACTTGTAGTGGATCTTGGCCAAGAAGTCATCAGCCTGATGGGCCTTGCCAGAGTTGCGGAGCTCATCAGCAACAGCAGAGCCGAAACGCTTCAAACCAGCCTGGGCAATCCACTTGTCCTCCACAGCCTGCAAATCATCACCGCTCAAACCAGATCGCTCGGCTTCGTTCATCAAATCGGCCAAGGCAGGCAAGTTGGGGTTGGTGGTACCGACAATAAATTCGTGGTCGCGGGTATCAATGTTGCTGCTGATCAAAGTAGCAGCCTCGGCATCCGAACGGGCAACAACAAGGTTCTCGACGCCCATGATATCGTATTGGACACGGATGGCAACCAGACGGTTGATGTGTTCACCAGTGGGGACGAGCACCTTACCAGCCATGTGACCACACTTCTTGGTGCCGGCAGATTGATCTTCAATGTGGATACCGGCAGCACCGCGTTCGACAAACATCTTGGCGAGCTTCATGGTGGCAGTGACACCACCGTGGCCGGTGTCAGCATCAGCAATGATGGGACGCAAGTAGTCGACGTAAGGTGTCTTTGCGCGTTCTTCGGGGGTCATGGCCAAACGGGCTTCGCGTTGCTTACGATCGTGGAAAAGCTGGGCAAAGAAGAGATGTTCGACCTTGTTAGGCACAGTGTCCATAGGATAGTCAGCAAGATCAGGACCGGGCTCGTTGCTGGTTGAGGCGGTCGAAGAGCATTGCCAACCGCTCACATAGACAGTCTCGATTCCGGCAGAAGCCATCTGGGTGATCTGGACGGGGTCTGGAAAGTTGGATCAAATGATATGATGAGCATTGTTTGTTTATGCAAACCTTATAGCAAGTTGTGAGTATTCTGCTTACCAAGGGCACCAAAGGTGTGGCTGGTTTCGCCAGTGCGCTTGTTCTTTTGGATGAGGTTCCACATCTTCTTGGCCTGAACATCAGATCTGTATTGAACGGGGAAGGTACCACGCTTGGAAACGATGGATTCGGCAGTGTAGGGACGCTTGACGTTCTTGAAGCGGGGGGAGGCCCACCACTGCTTGACGGCTTCGACCTATTCATCAATGGAAGAACCAATGCATAAATAACTGTCAAATGTGGTACGCTTGTTTGCATTGGTTCAAGCGGTTAGACGACACTTACTTCTTGGCGGAATTGCTGTTCTTCTTGGTCCATGTTGTGTGCGGTGTGTTAGTTGAGAGATAAAAGAGAAAAGTTGGTCTGTCACGACCAGAAGATTAGTGGGTTTATATATGCTCGACGTATTTCGTGGCCCCCCCCTCTTCATATGTCATACTTGGAGAAAGGGGAGAAACCGGTGGGACTCCATGTGAAACCAGCACGTGAAAAGACGCTGCCATTGGTGGATGCAAGACTCCGCTTTTCACTTTGTCATCGCTGCGTGCACGGAGCGACTGGCAAAAAGATTTGGCAACGACAAAATTGCGGGGCGGATAAACCTTTCCTTTTTTATCTTTTTATGTTGTAATCTAAGTTGCATTATCAGTCGCTGTGGTTACAAAGAGGGAACGTGTACACAGTTATCTTTCTATTTTATTTTTTTATAATTCTATTTGCAGCTTGTTGTTTGTTTTCTATGTCTATTGGCCAAACTGTTGGACCGTCCACGATGGATCATTCAGTAACTTGTCGTTAGCTTCGCCAAGGATCGCCATTGATGCTTCGTTTGTCGTCAAATATTGCTCGGCAACTTCACGGATGTCGTTCTGACTCACTCCAAGCAATTGCTCACGTCGCCTTTTAAAAAAAATAATGGGACACACACACACAGGAATTAATGATGAATCATGGCCAATTCCCATCCAGTTCACCCCTACCAAAGAACCACAAACTTACCGTTGTCGCATATCGTCTGACACACCATTTACAAACTGCAGCATTCCTTCTTCAGAGACACTGATCGGAGCGTCTACGCCTTGGAAGATGGACAGCTTAGCTTCTGTCATTTCCTGGTCGGCAAACTTGCGGTCCAACACCCAATCCGTTGCCGATGCATATGTACGGAGTGTCTCTAACGTGCGCGGATCACGATACGAGTAGAATGAAAGCAAGCCATTTAATCCAGCATAGCGTGCACCACCACCATAGGCACCATTCTTTTCGCGGATCTCACGATGCAAATAGTGGTTTGTCATAAGTGACGATAGGACCTGAAGCTTGGCACCATCTGGATGTGTGTATGGTACACCGCGAAGGGCTTTTCCAGAGAAGTTTACCGAGAACGGTAGCGGGAAGAATGTCTTGTTATACTTGGGCGCAAAGACACTCTAGAAATGTAATTATCATTATTAATTGCTTAGCTTAGCACATCAAATAAGTGAAGGGGAGAGTCGCGAACCCTTACCGGTTGTGCTTGATGAGGCACATGATCATCGTTGGGTAAGCTCGAAATGAACCGGGACAGAGCACTTTCGTTGGCCGACACGGCATCGTCACCACATGTAACTGCAACGCGCAACGTTGGTTGTTTCAAGACAGTAGATGCAATTGCCTTGAGCTTGGATACGACGTCTGACAAGTCCTCAGTAGATGCTAGCTGGTTCATAAAAGCAACTTGCGTCATGCCGCTAAGCAATTCCGCATTATGCATAGCCGGAGTCAAGGATGATGCTGCATAGGTTCTGGCAAATATGTGTCCGGAATCTGCCACAGAATTCACCAAGCCAGAAGCATTCTATTAGAAGAAATAAGCAAAAAAAGGAACATCGTGAGAAAATTGGAGTTGTATTGAGGAGGTTCCACGGAAGACACTGTCTGGTCAAATCAAAGAAAGCCGCGTACACCAATAATCAACGTCTTTAACTTTTCGGTATCGTCAAAGTTGGTTTCGAGAATAAGCTTGGAAAGTATATCATACATCTTGTCCACATTGCGGTCCAAACAGTTGCCAATCAATGCAATGCCTTCTTCGATATGGTCAATATCTAGTAGCGATTTACGGTGCGGTTGGTGTTTAAAACTGATAAAGTCAGCTTTGGGCTTTTTGTTTTGATTTCTCTTTGTGCGCGTTACATAATATGTAATCGTCTTTTCAACTTACCTGAATGGTTGGTGGACACCACCGTGGAAGCACGAAGGCCGCCTGTGTACAGCCTGATTTCATCATCGATCTCAGCCATGCTCTGTGTTCGAGTACCCAGCGATAAAAGCGCCTAAAACCGGGAGTATTAACTCCACGTGAGCATGAAATCCACAATTTTTCACATGGAACACACAAAAAAAGAAACATCACATCCTGCAAATCAAAGTGCACAGGGGGACGGTACGTACATCGCAAAATAAGGGGAGGTACAGCTTAAGATCATCTTGTATCGAGGGTAAGCTGCTGATCGCCCGGAAATAAGTGATACCGTTGGTTGCCGTGGTTCGCCATTGAACAGGCGTGTTGCACAGTCCAGTATGGTCCAATACCGTCCGTTTCATTTTGGGAGATATGTCTTTGAGGTGGAGCGTCGGGAGACATGAGAGATCTTCCACCTTGTCCTGATTGGCTGATAACTGCTTGCCTTGCTCTGCGATTTCCGCCTTATCAGTATCAGTTAGCTGGCTGACCTTACTGGCCAATCGTTGCTCTTCGTCTTTAGATAACTTGGCAGAGTAGTCACCGTCAGGTTGCATTGTAAAGACAAGTTTATGTTGATTGTTCAACAAGTACTTGTCAATACGCGACTCGAAAAAGTTGCCCGTGGCAAGTTCTTGCTTGAGTCGCTCAATATTCTATGTTTTTGCAAACATTGGAGGTTTAAGTAAGTCACGCTCAGTCGAGTCAAAGCCTTATCTCTTTTTCTGATGTGTATGACAAATCACATTTTGTCTGTGTTTGTTTGCATTACCTTATTGATTTCCAGAAGGTTGATAGGGTCCACCTCATTGAACCAACCAGAGGATATGCCGTGCATTAGGGTCAGGCCAAAGTCGGCAGTTTTCTGTTTACAGATAACGTCATTTCCTTATCTTCCTTTCACATTCACACACAGCAGCGATCGTAGAATGAAACATAAGAAAACCCGCCCCTTCCCATTATTCAAACTTACGTGCTTTTGGCCTAACTCCATTTGATGAATTGCCGCTTCAATTCTCTTGTTATCAAAACCTTCTTTTTTGACGTCATTGAGAACAGCTAAAATGCGTTCTTGTACCTAATTAAACATACTTTTCTTTAGCCGTTATCACGAGAAGCCACTTTCTTCCTTCTTTTGACGTACCAACCCAACATCACTGTCCTTGACACCTTGCAGACCTATCGATAAGCAGCTCGTCCTTTAAACGCAACCACAATCCAGATATATTAACTCACTGTTCCATCATCTCCATTCCTCACAAAAAAACAGATCCAGACTCATTTTTTCTTACCTTGTGGAGCTATCATAACCGGTGTTAGCAGAGAACTCGGATCCCAAATTAGTGTCGATCAGAGCCTTATACATGGGCGAAGCATGGCCGTCGAGCAACAAATACGACAGCAATCGCATAGAGAATGTCTCGAACGTATCCTAGTAATACCAAATTGGGTTCTATTCCTTAGTCACCATCGCAAACAGACAAAGAACGAAGCAACTGCAGAAAAAAACAGCTTTTTGATATGTTTACCTTGGTTTCATTTCCCAAAAATGAAAGCGATACTCTGGTCTGTCTATCAGGTGGGCTCACTACAAGTGTTTAAGCAAGAAAAAAATGAGTAAGACGATGGACGACGTGCCCGGTTTTTCACGTTCACTGCCTCAATCGTGGGAGGTCATTTGAGGATAAACTTACAAGGATCAAATGCACAGGTGCTTGACATCTTTCTTGGTTCTGTCCAGGGCGTCACTTTTTTATTTACATGGGGTACATCTACGCGCTTGAAACTCGATAGACGTTCTTCGATAGCCGACAAATGATCTTCCAAGGGGAAATTGCCATATGTATAAAATCGGGCATTGCTTGGGTTATAGTGTGTTTTATGGAATTCGACCAGCTGTTCATGCGTCAAGTCAGGAATGCGAGCAGGCTCGCCACCACTAGAGTGTTCATAAGTCGTTCCAGGAAACATCGATTCGTGAGCGCGAACATAATACAAATAATTAGCATCCGACTACAATAATAAACACATTGTTTCTTTTTGTGTTAGTATATCTATATACAGCCGCACATGCGTGTAATCCTTGATAATGATATTTTTGTTTACCGTTTGACCCTTCATTTCATTGTATACAACACCCTTGAATGTGATCGGGGTTGAAGTATCCATAGGATCTTCATGCTCTAAACGCCAACCCTCCTGCTTAAAGTCCAACTTTTCCAAACGTGGATGAAACACAGCATCCATATATACACTTCGAAGGTTGGCATAATCGACCGGATTCGTGGTAGCAAATGGATAGATGGTGTAATCACTCGCTGATAAAAAAGGCTAGCAATTAGCATTATTTTACATACTACCATTACACTTTTACTATCACATATCCCACAAATAAAAAGCACATACGGACATTACCTGTAAAAGCATTCATAAATGTTGCCAAACTACGGTTCAACATCTTGAAAAACGGATCTCGTACAGGGTATTTTTCGCTACCACAAAGCGTGGTGTGTTCCTATTTGGATAACCGATGTGGTTAATGCAACCATGACAACAAATATCCGAACGGTTTACAAGACAAAAGCTATTCTCTCCCTTACGCACCAGAATATGAGGTACGCCTGTGCTGTCGCTAACAGGTGTATGGAATCCAACCGCAAAAACGTTATTGGAATCGTCGCGATCAATATGCAAATGCTGGGCGCCCGTGGCCTCATGTTCTAACGCCACTGCTGTAAGTTCCAGTTCGGGTACTTGACGCACCTGTGTGTATTTGTATGGTCAGCGCTGTCAACTCTCTTTCAATACAACGTGCTTTTATATGTTAATACCTGTTGAACGCGATAACCCTGTAAGCGATCTCCGGGTGTAAGTGCTGTTGTAATAAAAAATAGTTGGAAATCAGTTTCACGACGTAATGGGAGAAAGAGAGACACGATCGATAGATCTGGTGAGAAAACAGAAAACCATGAGAGAACGCTGGCTGTACTCGATTACGTTTTGTTTGAGACGAATATGGTGCACTTTTCAGAGTGGTTGGTAGTTTTGTTCTGCTAGCTTGGCGCAGAATGCGCGAAGCGCAAAAAAGTTGTGTTGACATTTCTCAAGTGGTGTTAGGTGCTGCTGGTACACAATATAATTCTTTTAGTCTACATCTACAGACTGAATATAGTACGTGCTGGGTTTGTTTTTCTGACAATGACTTATTCGCCTGCGGGTCCTGTATTGACAGAGATTCATTAATCGGTGCAAGCAAAGCAAGAAAGATGCGCAAAGTAAAAAGGGCTCAATCGTCTTTGCAAGACAAGCGACAGGGTCTGTTTCTCAGTCGTAATTGCAGAAGAACAAGCAGATATGCACCACGGCTGTTTCCTGAACAGTAGTGAGTTACTATAGTCAACGTTTCATTATGTCAGCCTGTGGTTGACTGTCATATATGATTAGCCTTACACGTGCTTGGTGACTGTAGAATCTTAAAAAGATAACTATCTAGTCTAATGCTATTATCTCTTGTAAATTTAAATTCAAGATAGCTGTTGATGTGCTTGTTAAGAAAACAGTAAAAGTAAGTAATGTAGTATCCGAAAAGGACCCATGACGCGTCAACGATATGATCATCGGTGCGCTATGCGGCAGCACGTTGACGCATATATCCATAGGGCGAGTTGAAAAAACAAGCCCTGGGTTGGCAATCCGTAGCAGTATTGCAATACACGTGTCCTCGCTTGACAATTATATCTCGCTTTCTTCAAACAAAACTGCTGACGTTCCCTTTCCCAAAGTCTCCCAAAATCGCTCTTATTTGGGCACGTAAAAAGCGAGTATACATAGCAAGCCTATATAATTACACCTGCAAGGTTCAAGTCGAGATGCTGCATAACAACAAGAAAAAATGGGCTTAAAATTTTTCAATTACATCATGTTGAGCAACACGGCGTTTTTAACGGAAGGAAACAAGTCGGTGAGGCAACGGAAAGAGGTTTTGATAAGCTAAAAAATAACCATGAAGCAACAATAGCATCGCTCATCATTTTAATAATGCTGTTTGTTGGCAATGTGGCTTTATCGTTGAATATGTGAGGATATCGGGCGAAAGGTGGTCGCGTAAGAGAGATGGAAAATCATGTAAAGAAGATAACCGCATACTGCTAAACTTATAGCGGATCGATAAATAACAAGTAACAACATATTGACAAACGGCATGATGCAAATTATGCACTATGCTTGTCGGAAAATACAAACATTGCGTGTAACCAAAGGCTAATGCCTGTCTTCTATACTGCAGTTACCATCGTCGTGCCCAATGCACACAGTATACGCTGGGTGAGTTGCTATATACTTATAGTCAGGACATATTTTCATTCTCTGCTAACCCCTCTCCCATTCATTTTCAGGTTATCCCCATTGCTTGCTTCTCTTTCTCGCTTTTCAACCCCTTCTTTTTTTATATTTGTTTTCCTTCTCTTCTCTTCCTTCTCTTATCCCTTTAACCACCTCTCATTATTTTCCCTTTCTTTCCCTTTTTTTTCACTCTTTTTTTTTCTTTTTTCGTATAAATATAATGGATAGCAAATATATTGGATTGATCTTAGCAATATGCTCAAGTCTATTAATCGGTACTTCGTTTGTCATTACGAAAAAAGGGTTACAACAATCCTCATCTGCATCCCAAGGTATAGTAGTAGTTAAGACAGGATACCCTGATATAAATATGAGATGAGTTATTGATATACTGTCCACTACCTTTTCATCAGCATTTGCATCAGATTCACACCGGTATTTACGGAGTCCAATATGGTGGATCGGTCTGATCACCATGGTAAGTGGTGAGGTATTGAATTTCATAGGTAAGAATACAAAAGTCAGCAAAAATGAGATAAGAGAGAGAAAGAAGAAAGGGATGATCTAAGAAAAACAGAGTGTACTAAAGATTTGGAAGGAGCGGATTTAGTATAAAACAGTGTAGCGGGGGAGCTAGTGAGGATATATACGAGACGAGGAGGAAAGCCAAAAAAAAGAAGGGGGAGCATATTAGAGTAAATTAAAAAACAGACACGCTATCAACAATAACGTAATGATGCGAGTAGGATACACATTTGCACCTGCCATTTTGATAACACCATTGGGCGCACTAAGTGTAATCATTGGGTATGAAGAAACAACCAGAAAAGTAAAGAAGAGTTGGAATTATGCCATGTTAATTAATTCCTACAGTTAGTGCGATCCTGGCGACTCTGTTTCTGAAGGAGAAGCTTGGACCCATCGGCATCATCGGATGTTTGCTATCACTTATAGGAGCAGTGATTATCGTATTGCATGCACCCGAGGATCCAGAAGTGGCCAGTGTGGAAGAACTTGTCAACTATATGCTTCAGCCAGGTATTCCAGTAAAAATTATATTATTTGCTAGATTGGTCTCTCTAATAACCACATGGATGCAATATTAGGCTTCATTGTGTACTTTGTTCTTGTCATCCTCATTACGGCGGGCATGATCTGGAAGGTGGTTCCCCGGTGGGGAAAATCCAAAGTAATAGTCTACGTGACAATCTGTTCATTGATTGGATCGCTGTCGGTCATGACGATCAAGGCGTTTGGGATCGCTGTGCGTCTGACAGCAGAAGGAAACAATCAGTTTAAACAGCCATCCACCTATGTGTTTGGATTCATGTGTATCGTTTTCATCATCACCCAAGTGAACTATTTCAACAAAGCGTTGGATACTTTTTCAACAAACGTGTAAGTGCTATATGACGGAGCGAGACAAACAAAAACAAAAAGTGTAGCATGTAGTTTCATTTGGGGAAGAGAAAAGGAAGCTAAGCATTGTTTATCTGCAAAATATACAAACAACACGATCCAAAACAAACAACATTTTAGAGTCAATCCCATCTACTTTGTTTTCTTTACGACCGCAACCATCGTTGCATCAGCGATTATGTATAGAGGCTGGCACACGGCTGGCGCAGTCAACACCGTCAGTCTGATATGTGGCTTTATTATTATCTTTACTGGTGTCTATCTCCTCGACTCGATCGCACGCAAAGCCAAAGGAAGCGCGCCAATGCCGCCGGTTGCCTCGGCTTCTTCGCTACACCGCTATGATTCAAAGTCAAACCTCAGTCAGCGTACAGCATCGGCAGTGATGATGGAGACAGAAACAAAGCGTGCCATTTTTATTAATAGCAAGATGGATTGTCGATTCCACGAGACGAGTAGTAGTAGCAGTCATAACAACAATCATAACAATACGAGTGAGTCGCGTGTGTCATGTAGGAGGATGCATCGTGCACTCTCGGTCTAAGACCAAAATTTGCATGTCACAAATAGTCCCATTATATAAAAGTTTCTGCATATTCCCTCTTTTTTTTTTCTTCCCCTTCTTCACTCTTTAAACTTTGACTGAAGAAAAGAAGTAAGTGTATCAGTTCAATATAACCCCAAGTCATCCGCTTTCATCTAATTTTAAAATGGGTATTTCTATGGTGCTAGTGAGAGCCAAGTGGAAGAAAAAGGTATAGCAGAATTGGAGGGATCTACATGGAGAAAAGAGTACGTGTATATCTTACGCGCGTCTGTATGTGTGTGTTGTGTGTAGCGACAAAGACGTCTCAAAGCCAAGAGAAGAAAAATGAGAGCAAGATCCAAATAGGCGCATCAAAAAACCTCCACAACCCACCGCCTTTGCGTTATCATCCATACAGCGCATAGTCTCTCTCTCTCTCTACAGAAATGTACTATGAAATAAACATTCTCCATTGTTTTTTCCCGTTTGGCTTTGAAGGGGGGTTTGCCAAAATCAACAGACCCAAGCTATCCAACTTGGACAGTGTTTGTGTAATATGAATTTAGACGGCGAGCTTTTTTACAAGTGCTGTATTAAAAAAAACATATAAAACGAAACAATGACTACTTGATGAAATGGAATGGAATGATAACGATTAACATGCGAGACAGAAAAAAGATGACGAGGAGGAAAGGGAGGAAATGCGTGGAATTCAGAGATTATTGTTTCTTGTCAGTTTGACGGATCCGCTTCTTTTCTTCCCGAAGACCTTGATGCAGTTGATGCAATTGTGCTGCGATCGTATTGTTGGCAGCGTGGATCGCTACACCTTCGTGCAAGAATTTGTCCAGAAAGGCTGCTGCTCCACTTACGTCCATGTCTTTGCTTGATACGAGCTTGAGACTAGGTGGCGATGCTTCTGGTCGTTGCGTTGACATTATTGCGTGAGTATGGGTATGGTTATAAAGAAAAGCAAAAAAAAAAAATATTTGCTCTTTTGGCGCTGAGATTTTTTTTGATGGACTACTACACCCCTCCCCACTCCCTCCGCTAGAAAGAATCCTGGATTATATATTTTGTGATATGCAAAGTTACTAGTTGTTGTATAAATATGATGACAAGAGAAAAAGGTAACATGAGTAAAATGGAATATACGCAAAGGAAAAGTAAAAAGGGAGACGGTGTGTTTATGGATTGACATCAAGTGCTGCAGACGTTTCCTCCCAATATGTGGAATTGCTTCGCTTGCGTTTCTTGCCTGCTTCTTCCACAGCTGCTGCTGCAGCCTTCTTTTCCTCATCCTCCTCTTCTGACTTTTCATCGTCGTTGTTTAATAAGCTTTGCAGCATCAGTCGCCTACGACGCTTTGCAGCTTGGTTTGTATCCACCATGTTTCGTAATAAGTTCCCCTGCAATCCCAGATTGTGTGGGCCGATAATCGAATGGTGCACATGTTCAATGGATTTAAAGTACTTTACAGTCTAGATAGTAACTTATTAGTATATAGTGTCAAGTATACTTTTACTATTACCACTGCAGCAACTGACTAGTTAACTACCTTGACATGGAGCTCCAAGGTAGCATCTTCGTCACAGACGATCAGACCCTTGGGGTGCATCTGTATCGCAGATACAGTCCACATGTGATTTACGCCTTCTTCAACGCACTTTGCTAATGCCAAGCTCTTGTGCGCGCCCGTGATAACTACCATAACTTCCCGTGCATCCATCACAGTCCTATAATCCGCATTATACAAGATAAATAAATACGCATGTCATTTTTTTGCCACACACTTCCCTTCCTCGCCCCCCTTTTTTCCCTGGCAGGCAGCTTAGGCTATTGGTCTATCTCTTCAATGCGATCCTCCAATATATGAAAATCATCTAACGTAATACGCACGCTACACCTACGGTCAACGCAAGCTTGGGTACCCGTGAAATGTCGCCTCCGAAAAACCGAGCGTTTGCAATAATTGTCTCGTATGCAAGTGTTTTGACACGCGTACGTGATGTGAGTGACGAGCCTGGCTCATTAAAAGCAATATGTCCATCAGGGCCGATACCTTTATTGGATTTAGTGTTAGTTCCTGCTCTTTTACCTCTCTTCCATCACAGTAGATCTCTCTATCCTATTTGAACTATACTGCCGCTAGCTTCTACAAGCGGCCTATGAGACATACCTCCCAAGAAAAGTTCGATTCCACCTAACTTTGCAATTTCTGCTTCGAATTTCCGACATTCTTCATCAAGGTTACTTGCATTGCCGTCTAAAATGTGTACGTTTGCCTTTTTAATGTTGACGTGTTTGAACAAGTGGTTCCACATGAAGGTATGGTACGATTGTGGATGATCCCTGAAGAAAAGAAACTAACGTTAACCGCTCCAAAGGACAAAACTACTTATATTACTATGGTACTTACTTTGGTAGACCAACATATTCGTCAGTATTAAAGGTAACGACGTGCTCAAAGCTAACTTGTCCAGCTGCGTAAAAGTCAACGAGCTTGTGATAGACCAGGATAGGTGAAGAGCCTGTTGCCAATCCGAGTACAAACGGCCGTTCCTGAGTAGGTTGGAATTGATTAATTCGTTCTTTCACATAATAAGCTATGTGCGTTTCAAAAACACATATATTTACACACATACATGCGCGTGTGTTTTAAGAGAGAATGTGTCAGTGGCAGTGGTTACTGATATGTTGACATGAACAAAAAGAACGAGACGTGTTGCTGTACACTATGCGAGAACAAATCCAAGTATTTACCAACATAGGAAGCTACTTCTTCATGATCTTGTCGAACGATAAGCCGCATAATAGTAGCTCCAGCCTTCAAACGAGTAGGGAAACTTGAAAGAAGTATACAAAGGAAAAGAGAAAGTAAGAAAGTAAGAAGGATAAAAAAGTGTGAGGAACGAGAGAAAAAGTGGCGGACCCTGCGAAGTGGCGGAGCCCTCCTCTTTTCTGTCTCTTTGCGAGAAAAAAAAATAGACGATCAGGTTCAGCCCCAACGCGACGTTTCCCCCCCCCCCCCAATAGACGATCAGGTTCAGCCCCAACGCGACGTTTCCCCCCCCCCCTTTACTTCATTCTGATACTACATAACACCTCGGTAATAAGTGAGTAAGGTGACTTGTTATCGATTCACTGAACGGCCGGCTTTGGTTTATCCCTCATATAGACACCACGTTCTCTGGCTTCTCAGTAAAAAAAGAGGCGAGGTCCCTTACTGGAGCAACAGCAAAAAAGAAGTTCAACACGTTGCCGCGGAACGAAGGTGTGGTGATTAAGTAATGATAGGACACGGACCCTGGAACGAGAAATAAAGCGTTGTGCTACACAAAATGAACTGTGCTTGTGGGAGAGCGATTAGCTCTACTATGTGCATCGCCAGCGAATGGAAAGAGGCTTTTGCATAATATTCACACGATTTCATATTGGTTCGTTTACGTTATATACAAAGCCAATGTGGTTGTAAGGGGAACAGAGGTAATAGATCGAAAGGCAAGGAGGAGGATGAGGAAAAGTATGGTAACAGGGGAGGGTGTATCTATCTATTTTCTGCTGTCATAGTTCAATACACGACGCGATTGGCGCTGTCGGATCTTCTCATACTTGTAGAACAAGCTGGCCATGTCCTAAATGATCGGTTATCGTATACTTTTAGCCAAATGTCCTTCTTCTTCTTCTTGCTACTTACACCCAAGCTTGCTGCTATACAAACAAACTCCCTATTTTACCTTGGCCACAACAAACAAGCATCCGCCGAGAAAGCTCCTGTGATAGGGCTCGGGGAAATACTGGCGAACCAACTTGAAATGGTTGAGACAGCTGGATCACGTGAAGTTTGAAATCATCAGTCATTTGTTGCTGTTCCCCACACATCTGTCTCTTTTTTTTTTACCTTCCCACGATGCTACTGATGGTTGGCCAAAGAAGTGCCCCAATCACAGTGACACCCAAATCGCCACGTTCACGGATATTGAGCAAAGCATCCGCTTCTCGTTCAGCCTCTGCCGTTTGATCATCTCGTTCTTGGTCTCTTCGTCGACGTTCATCCCATGTAGGATCACCTAGGATTTCAGCACCATGTCGCTCAAGCTCATCGCGATACATTTGAGTTGCATTCGGTGCCTGCCGAGCAGTAGCGGTAGTATTATTCTGTTGTTGTTGTTGTTGTTGTCGTCGTGTTTGAGGTTGTTGTTCCTGCTGTCCACGTCGAAGATGCAGGAGTTTCCGAGATAACTGATGCTGCGCCAGCAGGTATAAATTGTTATAGAGTAGTCTACAATACGATTTTGTAGTGTCTTAGAAATCCACGTTACGCTTTCTTTTTTTCACAACTATTCATTTGAGAGAACAATCATTCACCTAACCCATGGTAATGCCCCCACGGTGACAGTTGGAGATGGCGGCCATGACACTTGTACAGGGGAGTTTGGATGTGTCGATGTTGCGCGTAGTAATAGCATAGCAGCAAACGGTAAGACCCCGTCTGCCCAACGTGAACGAGATAAAATCAAGGCTGCTGGAATAGAGGGTAATCCAAGCCAAGTACGCCATGTCCATGCTACTGGTGATCCGATAAGTCGTTCGCCTTCACGAGCACCAAACAGCGTCAGCACAGTATATGCGCCATACGTCGTAGACGTGATCAGCATCGAGCAACCCAAACCAAGGAATGTCAGATAGGGAGCAGCTGTATGTACTAGACTGTCTACGAGTGTAAGAAGTGCAAGCGGCAAACTGCGATGCTCTGAGAGATGATACGGTGTGTTGCATTGTGGACAGTGCACCTATAACATATGCAATGTTGAATACGTTCATCCTAAAACATATCGCATGAAAAGACTCTCTCTCTTTACCTTTTTCAAGGGTGATCCTTTTTGGTTCTCTGTAATCCAATCCAACAAGCATTTTTCGTGAGAAACAAGAGAACACTTGCATGGTTTGACCCAGTTTCCTTCAGAATCAGCGTCTTCACCAAAACAGATCCAGCAACGACGACCTTCGTCATTTGACTGTTGTTGTGATTGACGTTGCTGTTGCTGCTGTTGCGCCGCTAATAATTGATTTCGTCTTTGTTGTTGCTGTTGTTGTACTGCTGTTGATCGTTGTTGTCGAGAAGACGAAGAAGCAGGTCGAGCGCTTGTTGAAGTTGGTTCACGAGTAGAAGCGGCAGGTCTTGGCGCAAGAATGGTGGAAGACGATGAAGAAGAAGCACTAGAAGCTGAAAGAACGGAGCCATTGTCATCGTCCTCTTCGTCGTGAATGTATCCTCCATGTCTCAAACCATTGCTACTGCTGCTATTACTATTAGTACTGCTGCTGCTGCTGCTGTTTCTCGTTGGTGTCGTTGTTGAAGATAACCTCGAATTGCGTAGTGTGCTAGCATTGATAATGGTTGGTCTTGTTGACGACGACGACGAAGACGAGCGTGGTAGTTGCTCTTCAAGAAGCATAGTAGAAGAATCACGGTCATTGTCGTCTTCGACGGCAGAATTGCCTTGGTGGTAAGAGTAATATCCGGCCGCACTCATGAGTGTGGAATTAGGACAACGAAAGTGAGACATGACTGAGTCCAGCGGGTTTTATATAAAGTGATGGGTAGTAGTCGGGTAGGGTGCAAGGTGGGTGGTGTATGTGTGTGGGTCAAACAACGGGTCGTGTGGGTCACCTTTGACTTTAACACACACAACGGACTTTGGATTGGTGGTTTACGTTACGTTGCGTATATAGTGTGGTTATGGCAACTGTTAAAGTTGCATGGGGGTGCTATTTCTCACACAATTGCACCCATACATTCAACTTTAAGTAGCAGTGGAATTTCATTCGCTCGTTTTATCGGTATGCGAGATGTGCGCTGAAGAAATGTCAGCTTGTTTCCCGACTATATTAACCATCCATTCACTATCCAACAACAAAGAGACAGTATATATGTAAGAATGAAAACGTGCCATGTTTATTGTTGAAGCAGTGTTTCCGGAAAAAAAGGTGTTGTGATTGTTTCTCTGATTAAGTGAAAGAAAGAAAGAAGGGAGTTGTTGGTGGTATATGATATAAGTTATGTAATGATATCGATTTTAGTTTTCCGTCGACGACATGGTCTGTTATGTCTGTCGAGTGGTGCGTAGGGGAGAATGTGTGTGCGTGTGCGTGTGTGCATGAAGGTAAAATCATAGTTCAGCTTGATCGATCGCTCTTAAGCGACGCATAATTCTATCCATTTCGTTTCGTACGATGGTCATGATTTCTTCATGCGAACGAGTCGATGCTTCCGAATTATCCAACTTCTGTCGCAACTGTTCGACTTCTTGCTGCACTTCCCGAATGGTATCGGCCTGACGTTGTTCCATTTCCAGATGCTCTTGCTCGAGCTCCTTGATCTGTACATCCATGGGTCCAATAGCATCCTTGATCCGCTCCTCTGCTTCCTTTTGTATTTGAAGCGCGCGAGATGATGTGGCGGCCAATTCTTCATATGCCTTGGAAATGACATCCTGGAGCTCGCTCTTTTCTGCCCTGTACTTCTCCTGTATCCTGCGGATTTCTCCCCGTACCTCGCCGTGTTCTTCCTGCGCATTCGTTTCGAGCTTTTGCTGCTGTTCCTTTGCCTCCCTAAGCTGGTCATCGAGCTCCTTCAGATGGCCCATGCCTCTCTGTGCTGTCTCTATTTCATCCGTATACTTTTTCACTTGGCCTTCGAAAAAGAACGCTGTCGCTTTCGCATTTTCCGCTTGTCGATCTTTGCGGTTGCTCATGTCTGTCAGTGTTTGGATCTCGGTCTTTAGCTTGCGATTCGTGCGTCCACTCTCTTGTGCATGAAGCTCGGCGGCTTTGGCTTGTTGTTGAGTTTGTTGTAACTCGACCCGTAGCTGTGTGAGTTCTCGTTCAGCTTTAGAGATCTTTTGTTGAAGTTCACCAATGTCACTGCCCGTCGTTCGTGATGAACTCGTGCTTCCTATTCAATTATAAGTCCAATCCAAGTTACAGTACAAGTTTAAACATTAGTTATCACTGATGCCATCTCGTTTTATCTCCTTATGAAAAAGATAAGACAGAAAAAACTCACGTTCGGGTTTCATGTCATCTTCTGCCATGGAATATATTTTTTATGAAAGCTGCAAAAGGAATCGACCTGTCTGAACTAAAAGTTTCGCTTTTGCAACTCCCCTTCTCCTCACACACCCCTTTCTTTCTCGGATGATTATGAACTTCGCTTTGGAAAGGGGGCAGCATAAGGATGCTTAATCCGTATGGATTTCTCTCGTTTATTACTCATATGCCTAAAATAAATCAATGTCCCGTATTGCATCCATGGTAACGCAATAAAGCGGTAACCATACCAAAAAATTACTTAGCACAGTATGCAAGGGACGCTATTATGCTAAAGTTAAAATTGTCTCAGTAAACAGTAAATTAATAGATTTGTCTCAATGAAATAGTCAGCTTTGGTCAATCATTGTTCATTGAACCGAATATCAGTCAAGATTTATATCTAGATAGAAATATATAGACAGCAGTAACTATAAAAAATGGTTTATTAACTCGTATTAAGACAGATGATGACCAGCACCTCCAGAGATTTTATTCAACGGTAGAAGGGAGAAGGAAGAAAATGGTATAGAAAGCGCACTGCGCATAAGGTGTGTTTACGAAGGGCAGAAAGTGACGGTGTAGCCTTCGGCCTGGCACATGTACGTGCTCTGCTTGTCATCATAGGCATAAGAGTACGCATCAGGACATGCTTCCTTGACAGCCTTGCTATAGTCTGTAGCTGGGCACTTGTCCGGAGTGTTCATGCTACCGGAGCAGCAGTATTCTTCGGTGTTGTACTTGGAGCACGCGGACTTGCATCCGACTTCCTTGCCGTTGTCCATCACCTTGAGATCATCGGGGCACTTGGGCAAGCTGGAGCACGTGGGGGCACCACAATGGTATTGCTCGCCATTATCGCTGCCACCTTCCTTTGAAGCGTTGATGGGCTCAATGCGGATGGGAATGTTGTAGCCATCGACAAACGAGACATCATAGTAGTCGTTGCCGCCGCTACCCTTGAACGTGAATTCGGCCAAAGAGGCAGGATCGGCTGCACCTGCAGTAGGATTGTCACCACCACCACCACTGGATTGACGGCCCCAGAAGCGGCCTTGCCACTTGCCATCCAGAGGATAATCCTTGGACGAGCCTTTGGAGATGTCGGCCGTCTCGGGCGAAGAGGCACCGTTGTCGAGCTTACCGATGTTGAGATCATAGTCGCACTGATTCTTGATGACAATCTTGACGCCACCGCCACCGCCAGAGGAGGAGGAGGAGGAAGTGCTGTTACCGGAAGAGGAGGATTCAGCTGCTGGAGCAGCAGCGGCAAATCCGAGGAGGGCAGCAATGGAGACCAGTTTCAAGGAAGTGTACATTGTTGTGTTGTTATTGATGAAGAATATCAAGGTTAAAGTTTCGTCCATTCGCCGTCGTTCATTGTGCCTTTTATACCTTTTGCTTTTCGAGTATCTGCTGTCAAGTTACTAGAATATACGGACGAATGAGAACGACAATGACGTGAAACAAGGCGGTACCTGGAGGTACCCAGTCAGCCTATGACGATCTCGAATTTGCTACACAGCTAATGATATTTTCTCCAAATCTAGACATATTCCGTCAAATGTCAGTGAAACATACTAGATGCCACCGCCAGTTCATGGCGATCATGTAATTCACAACACAGCAAGTATTTTTTTTTCCTTTTCCAGACAAAAAGCAGTGAAACTAGTGAGCTGCCTGTCTACTATTTTGTTTCTGATATGTGTGGGAGCAAAAAGATTTTCCACATCTTTTTGGCAAAGGGATACACACATCTATATAGAGGACACATCCTATACAATGCGGAGGAGGACGGATATAATATATTTTGTGAGCAGATACAGTTTTATCTAAATGTTAGATTAAAGAAAGATATTAAATAACGACATGCGATATTATGATAGAATAGTTGACCATTGCTGTCTTGAACTTCTGATGGTATTTAAAACCCTCTGTCGAATTGCATAATAAGAAAGCGTACTTCATTTGTAACTGCAAAATAAATAATAGCGTCAGTCGACACATAAACCACTTGTTCTAGTTTGCAGTTATCTTATACAATCGTTTTTCTTGGAGCAACAAAATGTCATCCTTTGGAAGTACTAAGTTCCTTTGGCAAATTTGTCTATTATTTTTCCTGTCAATATCTTCATCGTCTGTCTCTATACTTCCTTTCTATACATGGAAGTCGTTGAGTGCCTCTCAAACTTTATTGATGATCAAAAGCAAAACCGGAAATGATGAAAGTGGGTGCTCGCGGTCCCCATTGCATATGCATTGCTAGAACTAAGATCTGAAAAGTCTTGCGCACATCACATTTCTGAAAGCGCTGACACAAAAGGATGCGATAGTGACGGTAACTATTGCTGTCTTGTACGCTTGGTATCTCCTCAAATGATAACGTTCAAGCAGCGAGTATTAATGCAAAGTTCGTCACACTTGGTTTATTCAATCATATAAGCATCTGGATTGCACACAGACTGAATCTTGTTCTCGGGAATGAATAGGACATGTTTTGTATCAATAACGATAAGTCAGGCCCAATCTTTTGGCTTTGGTATTGACATCAACTTTTACAATGAAACTTGCTCAGAAATATATTTTATCCGTCCTCCTCCGCATTGTATAGGATGTGTCCTCTATATAGATGTGTGTATCCCTTGGCCAAAAAGATGTGGAAAATCTTTTTGCTCCCACACATATCAGAAACAAAATAGTAGACAGGCAGCTCACTAGTTTCACTGATTTTTGTCTGGAAAAGGAATAAAAAATACTTGCTGTGTTGTGAATTACATGATCGTCATGAACTGGCGGTGGCATCTAGTATGTTTCACTGACATTTGACGGAATATGTCTAGATTAGGTGAAAATATCATTAGCTGTGTAGCAAATTCGAGATCGTCATAGGCTGACTGGGTACCTCCAGGTACCGCCTTGTTTCACGTCATTGTCGTTCTCATTCGTCCGTATATTCTAGTAACTTGACAGCAGACACTCGAAAAGCAAAAGGTATAAAAGGCACAATGAACGACGGCGAATGGACGAAACTTTTAACCTTGATATTCTTCATCAATAACAACACAACAATGTACACTTCCTTGAAACTGGTCTCCATTGCTACCCTCCTTGGTTTTGCCGCTGCTGCTCCAGCAGCTGAATCCTCCTCTTCCGGTAACAGCACTTCCTCCTCCTCCTCCTCCTCCTCTGGCGGTGGCGGTGGCGTCAAGATTGTCATCAAGAATCAGTGCGACTATGATCTCAACATCGGTAAGCTCGACAACGGTGCCTCTTCGCCCGAGACGGCCGACATCTCCAAAGGCTCGTCCAAGGATTATCCTCTGGATGGCAAGTGGCAAGGCCGCTTCTGGGGCCGCCAATCCAGTGGTGGTGGTGGTGACAATCCTACTGCAGGTGCAGCCGATCCTGCCTCTTTGGCCGAATTCACGTTCAAGGGTAGCGGCGGCAACGACTACTATGATGTCTCGTTTGTCGATGGCTACAACATTCCCATCCGCATTGAGCCCATCAACGCTTCAAAGGAAGGTGGCAGCGATAATGGCGAGCAATACCATTGTGGTGCCCCCACGTGCTCCAGCTTGCCCAAGTGCCCCGATGATCTCAAGGTGATGGACAACGGCAAGGAAGTCGGATGCAAGTCCGCGTGCTCCAAGTACAACACCGAAGAATACTGCTGCTCCGGTAGCATGAACACTCCGGACAAGTGCCCAGCTACAGACTATAGCAAGGCTGTCAAGGAAGCATGTCCTGATGCGTACTCTTATGCCTATGATGACAAACAGAGCACGTTCATGTGCCAGGCCGAAGGCTACACCGTCACTTTCTGCCCTTCGTAAACACACCTCATCTTTTCTATACCTTCCCTTTCGATTAAATAAAATTAATTGGTGCTGGTCGCCATACTCTTTTCAACTTTGAATGTCTGAGAAAGGCATAGTAGGCATCATACAACATTCGTCTAAGCTATAGCATAGTCTTCTTTTTGACTGCTAATTGATAAGTCGTTGCGAATGTTTGAGTGTTATCAAGTATAAATGTAACAATCGCGGAAGCAGCTGTCAATTGATTAGACTTTTACTTTCTCCAGAAAAACAGCGACAGGAAGCTTTGTTTCAACTTGACAAGAATGTTGTCAATCTATAGTTCGTTTCTTCTTATCACTACTACAGCTACCATTGCTAGAAAACGTGAGCCAAAAGTATTCGTATGTACATCGACATGCTATGTGCTAGTCGATCTCTGTGCTTATACCATCTTGCTATTACCCGCACTCCTCTAGAATGAATTATCATGTTAACAGTATCTCAAAAACTGTATGAAGTAGAACTCATATGTCTGCGGCACATCTTCAAACACCGTAGACTTATATATAGATAACCAATGCCCATTGTTAAATAAAAAAGTAACACTATGGTGTTCGTCATAACGTGTCTATCTTGATTACTCGTACACCGTCGTACTTTATTGAACCGACGAGCAACGAGAGGTTTCCCTGGAAACCAGTACATAGACAACGAAAAAGAATCATCACTGTCCTTTCCCCTCTGTCTACAAAATAAAGGGTTTCCGCCACAGCAATGCACTGGCTCTCCGAGTGTAAGCTGCTTCAAAAGAACGACAACGAGGACGACGACGACCTGAACACACTCGTCTCTGTTGTTTTCCTTCTTTTGAAAAAAGCCTTCCTGACCGAACCTTCTTTTTAAAACAAAGCTATAAAGAGAACAACACACCATGTGTACGATCGTCAATACAACAGCTCCACAGCGTTGCTTACGTGCCTGTTTTTTCAAAGAAAGAGATACAAGTTGTTGCTTACAGAACGAACGACCGCTGGTTCGAATATTTTTGTTCTTCTTTTTTTTTTCCTTGGTTGTAACTAACTTCTTTTCCCCCACCTCCTTCTTCTTTCTTTTCTTTCTTCTTAAGCTATAAAGTAGCACAGACACTCCCTTTTCTTTCATTAACTTTTCTTAACCCATATGCCAGAAGAGAATGGGGGAGACATTTCAGTACGAGTTGTTCTTAACGATGGCTCTGCTCAAAGTATGATCCTTCTTACTGGTCTGAAGAACATCTTTCAAAAGCAACTTCCAAAGATGCCAAAAGACTACATTGCACGCTTAATATATGACAGGTGAGGGAAAGAATATTTTTTCAAAGGTGCGTTTGCTCATGGAACTGATTTGAGAGGTTTTTGCAAATATAGAAACCACTCGAGCATGGCTTTAATACGACATCCTATGAAGGTGATCGGTGGCATCTGTTACCGACCGTTTGACAGCCAGGAGTTTGCAGAGATTGTGTTTTGTGCGATTGCCTCTACAGAACAAGTCAAGGTATTGTGTTTGTTTCTCTAGAGACGCGTCGTTGTGGGGTTGTTTACACGTGTGAAGGACAAAGTGATATACGTACTGCACGCGAAAAACAAAGTATGGCTACTCCCCTAACGAAAGAATTCAATTAGGGCTATGGTTCTTATCTCATGAATCATTTGAAGGATTATATCGCAAAAAACACAAATATGAAGCATTTCTTAACGTATGCCGATAACTACGCCATTGGTTATTTCAGGAAGCAGGTAAAGAAGATGGGAGAAAGGAACACAGAATCATTGTGCTTGTGCGTGTGTGGTCTGTGCTCTCTCCTCTTTTTTTTTTGGAAGGACAGGAAATGGGGTAAAAGAAGGTTATCTGATTGGCTTCCATTAGGGATTCACAACAGAGATCACGTTGGATCGAAGGAAATGGGTTGGTTATATCAAGGATTACGAAGGAGGAACAATCATGCAGTGCACGATGGTTCCCAAGGTCGAATACTGCAAGGCAAGAGAATTGCTTGAGCTACAACGGAAGGCAGTACTGGAGAAAACCCAACAGTACTCCACATCACATATTGTATACCCCGGGATCGACATGCCGGTAGACGAGGATGGAAAACGAAGTATCCAGCCGCTCAAAGTGCCTGGCGTCCGTAAGTATATCAAACCTCGAATGTGAAACCATGAGCCTTCATCATTGGGGCGGAACCTTGAAATGGTGCTTTTTAACTGATTGCTATGTCTTTTGATGTATAGAGGAGTCTGGCTGGACACAAGAGATGGACGACTTGTAAGATCTCCTTTTCATTTCTTTTTCTTCTAGAACTATCTACTTTGGTCTTTCTAAATCTATGAAAATTTTGATAACTTTGACTAAACATTGATGGGATGGTACTATTATAACAGATCAAACCGACCTCGACACCCTGCGCATTACAACCAAATGCGACATATTGTGTCCGAGCTACGAGCGAGTCCACATTCATGGCCATTTGTTGAAGCTGTCAATCCAGACGAAGTGACGGATTATTACGACATTATCAAGGATCCAATGGGTAAGAAAAGAAACAAAAGGGTGGAGGGGATGAGGGAAAATTAGGATCGTGCTACTACATATTTCCAAAACGTTGAATGTTGGGAGTTATGGATATAAGAGGGGTAGTAATAACTAAGCACTTTCTTATTTTGAAACTTGTAGATCTCTCGATGCTCGACCAAAATGTCGAAAACGATGTCTATGACACGATGGATGAGTTTGTCAAGGATGTACAAAAGATCTTTGATAACTGTCGACTATATAATGCTGATACGACCAACTATGCTCGATGTGCGAATCGGCTGGAGCAACTATTCAAGGAACGGCTTCAAGTGTGGACCAGCGGCGGCGATTCATAAAGGAGCACAAAAGGTTAAGAGAAAAGCAAATCATTGTATATTGTAAATATTCCCTTCTTTTTTTTTTACTACTACTACTATTACTTAGAAACAAGCAACAAAAAAAGCAACAAAACAAACACATACACATACACGTATTGCATGCTTTTATACAAGCACATATGGAAACAGAGGATCCCTTAGGGAGGGGGAGAACGGGTCAGCTGAAGGATGGATGGGATGAAATTTGAGGAGATTCTACACTACATCAGTGTCTAAAGAAATCGTCGTGCGACTAGTTTGACGCGATTATCGAATTGTGGGTTTGTGATGGCCGAGTTTTTCTCGTAAAACGGGTTCATCAAGATCTAATGGCATATATTCGACTTGGTTAATCTACGGAAAAGTAGGAAAGCTTTTGTTGGGCATACTACGAAAAGAGAGGAGCATTACCTTGACGTATACTTCATATACTTCGTTAAAAAAGTTCTTGATGCTATCTTCAGATTTCTGGTCGTGTAGGAGCATGAATTTGACATCTACAACATATAATGTGCTATGATGAGCTTTTCTTACAGTCTGTATGTGAAAGCATGTAAATTTTGTATATTTACTGTTGGCAGTAACAAAAGCCGACACGTATTGCTCGTTAAAGCGATCCACGGATTTCAGGTACCTAAAAAACACCCCGCGGAACGTTTGGGTTAAACTTATGCGCTGCTCGTCTACTCCACCCTGCAAAGCATTTTTTAGCAAAAATAATAGTTACATGGCTTGTGTACCCCACTGCACTTCTTCTACGACATCCAGTGCCGCATGAACTATAAACTGGTTCAAGTGCTTGTGATCATCGCGCTAAATGGTCGGTTCCGACATTTCCACAAGGAGTTACAAAACGAATGGGTAAAAATGTATTTAGAAAACAACAAAAAACGAAATAATGAGCAAACTAATTACCCTACTACTGTCAATTAACGAGGAAGACCGTGATGATGGTATAATGTCAGTCTCATAAATGGGGTTATCGGTTGCCCCTACAATTGCAAAGTAATAAATGGACATGAAAGGAAGAAAGAAAGGGAAACGATGTACTAAAAGTAATGCGGGTGTTGAAAAATGATGCGTTGAAAGCAGAGTATGTGTGTGATGTAGTATAATAAATGCTATGGTGCTGGTATGAACAAGGAAAATGATCTTCTTAATGTTTAAACAAGGTGCGTGGTATCCATGTCATGAGCGAAATCCATAATGAGGATTCGTTGATCCTGGCTTGTGCTATAGGAGCGTAATAACCAACCACGTTAGCATTGCGCTGTTTTGCTTACACGAACGATGGTCTCCCAACTCACCTAATAATCTTAGTTTCATCAAACATGACATCAAAGACCCAGCTAGAGTGGCATGATTGAAAGTTATGCAGCATCTTTCCAGTGCGAATATCCCATACACGGATACTTTGGTCGTAGCTACCGCTGACGATCTTATCCTGGTCGAAATGCAGTGCCCGTACTAGCCCCGTATGCCCTAAAATCAGAACACGGAAAAGAAAAAAAGGGAAGGGGACGATCAGAAATAAAGAACTTATCTCCTGCTACTCCTTTTCAGATGCAGCCCTAATTGACACGTATTCTACTTACCGGTACATGTTAAGGTGCATTCACCCGTTTCTATCAGGGAGTAAAGCAGAAGGATAATACTTTTTTTTTAATTATCGAGCATCAAAGAAGAAGCATAGGAGGTTCCGGTTAAAAAAAGAAAAGCTTATTGCAGCAATAATTACCTGCATCCCACACCTTGATTTTGTTATCGTTGCTGCCGCTGACAATCCTCCGACCATCGAAGCGAATGCAAGCGAGTCCACGTGAATGTCCAACAAAGTCGCGTAGACATTGTCCGGTCTGGATATCCCATAGTTTAATGACAGCATCACCGGACGCCGACACGAGCCGCGAGCCACGGAACTGGATGGCATTCACGGGTCCACGGTGTCCATGCAATGTACGACGCAGCTCCCCATCCTCACGGCCCCATATCCGGATTGTTGCATCTTTTGAACAGCTTGCTATAATCTCGTCATCGAACCCAACATCCAGAACCCCTGAAGCATGTCCGCGCATCCGTCGGATCGTCTCGAAGGTGCGCATATTCCACATGAGGATGGTATGGTCGGATGAGCCGGAAACCATAATGGCGTCGTCGTATTGAAGACAGAGAACACTAGCATAGTGGCCTGTCAACGTGCGGATGCACTTGCCCTGCATGTCCCAGCATTTGATGGTGCGGTCACGACTGCCAGTGACAATCATATCCTTGTCGAACTGCACGCAGTAGATGCTGTCTGCATGGCCAACGAGAGTGCGGTCTTGCTTGTCACCTTGCTGCCATCGCCGATCGAGCAGGAAGCGTTGCTGATAGAGGTATCGATAATCAACATCGGCAGGTACCCGTCGCTTCCGTCGTACGCGTGTACCCCAGTGTGGATGGGTCATGTATAGATTACGCCACAATGCGCTATCTTGTGTGAGCCAATGCCAGTAAGACGAGACCTGGCTGAGGGTGAGGAGCGTTTCATGGTCGCAATGGCATAGGATGTGTTGTGCTATCTCCACAGGCAGTTGTCCAAGATAATCTAATGTAGAGTGAGAGAGGACGGAGCAGTAAAGCCTCTTCTTTTTTAGCATGGACGCAATCCGGCGGAGAAAAAATAGAGAAGAGAAAAAGCCAGCATATGTGTATTGCTTCTAACCACATACTACGACGACGACAACAACAACAACAGCTCCTTTCTTCTGCTTACCTATTCTGCATTCGCTGTCTTCTAGTGCAGAGCTGGCTCGAGAAAGAAGGGACAACTTTTGCTGAGACTGGTGGAAACCTTCGTCGATAAGGATTTTGGTGGCAGTGCTTTGTGTGCTGACGTAGCTGTCGCTACGGCTCCTGCAAGCGGACGAGGAGGACATTGTCGGTAAAGTATACGGTCGTCGGTTTGTCGGCTCCGCTTCTTCGTTCGCCGACAACGGTGAGTTCGGTCGGCTTGCCGTTGCCATCGTAGTTCTGGAGGTTAAAGAGGTGAACGAAGTGCGTTTAAAGCACCGTATTAAACGCTTGATTGAGGTGCGTGAGGGTTGGACGAATTGATCTTGTGAGGGCATTGCTGTCGTTGGTGGAGCGATTCGAATCGTTGCCAGCGGATCTGCGTGAGAAATATATAGGATAATTTATACTGGTGTGCTGGCTGGGTCAACGAGTCAGGAATGGCGTTCGCTTATTTATTTTCTTCAAAGGGAAGGAGCAGGGAAGGAAGAAGAGAAAGAAAAAGAGAGAGGGAAAAGAAGAAAAGCAAGAAAGGAGCAGCAAGTCTGATGTATTTTAATCAGGGGCGGGCACAATTCACAAAAAAATATACACGCATACATACACACGCACACACGCACACACGCACAGTAGTGGATAAAAGAGAACAGCTAGAGCAGCCGAAAGGCTCGCCACAACAGCTCCAATTGGCCTCCGTTCATGCAGCCCTAAGCTACTAGGTCTGCACGCCTCTTCTGTGTTTCGCTGGAGAGGGGATGCAGGATCAATTCAGCGACTTCGGCCATACGATACGACTCTACATGTTGAACGAAGACCCCTAACATGATACAGTAGTAATATGCATACTGTGCTACTAACTCAGGTGTCTCTCTCTCTCTTTCCTTCCTGTTTTACTCCACTGTGTCCACGAATCCTCATCCTCCTTCTTTCCTCCCCGTGGCTCCCTTTTTGCCTTTTTATCTAATCATTTTTTGAGTTATAAAAAGAGATCCCGGTCCACTTTCCTAGTTCGGAAGTTTCCTCTCTGAATAACACATTGATCAGCAGCAGCTGGTCATATGTGTGTATGTGTATGGTCAAAGTTTGGGGGTGAGGGGAGGTTTGAGGAGAAGAGGGGGCGTGATGATGTACAATACGAAGAAAAGAGAGATTTAAAAAGAAACAACCAGTAACCCATACTTTCTATTGCCAAACAGGCTGCCCTGGAATTAGAACGTACATGTAAAGTGTAAGAAGAAGGAATTGACTTATTACATACAGAATGTCGCTTTATAGTTTCTGATAATAGATGAGCAGCAACAGGACTAACTGTGTTGGAGATATTCTTCTCCCTCTCCTCCTCATTGCCACTAATCACTTGTCTTACAAGCTTTTCTTTTAAGAACACTGGTCTTGGCATATCAGAAGAAGAGGGAACTCATTTTTTAACATGCCGATCCCTCTTCTCCTCATCATCAGTGGGTATATGAGAGTCATTTTGCTCTAGTTATATTGCGTACTACTATCCCACCATCATCATTATGTAGTGTTTTGGCTTCATATCAAGAATACTGCTTATTGAATATATCAACAAATTATCAATGTCTGCTTTCGGGGAAGATTGTCATGATGAAAGACGCTTAGTCTGGTCCAATAGAAGAATCAACTGTCATCATCATCATTCATGTGATATACTTGCAACACAAGAAAAGGGGCGCGGATGATTCACCGTCATTGTACTTGGTAGATCTATTTGGCAAATCCGGGTTTAGTGGTATAGTAAACATTGACCATTATTTGGAAAGAGCGAGAGTAGTACAAATGCATGTTACCTGCCGCCTAATGATACAGTAAGAACGGTAAATTTTGTCACTTTGAGAAAATTGAATGTCTGTAACCAAAAAATAAATGTCACTTTCCAAAAAAATTAATGGCACTAAGCCAAAAATGATTGTTCCTTTTGTCTAGAGATTTTGTCCTTTTGAAATAAGAGAAATGTCACAATAAGTTAAATCAAATTGACCTAAAAATGATATGTGTTTTTGACTTCAAAACGTTTAGAATGGAGTTTTATTATAACATTGAATGATTTGTCGTTTAGAATGACTGGCAAAGCTGTATAGAATTTCAGCAGGTATGGCATTACATGCCTCAGCAATTCTATCAGACATTTTTTCTTCATTCAATAGTTTGTGGCGTTTCAATTTTCCTTTTAAGATTGTCCAAAACTGTTCAATTGGGTTTAATTCAGGCGAATATGGAGGCAGATACATCAGCTTATAGCCACGACTTTCGATTTTTCTCATCATCGGTTTTGATTTGTGTATAGTACAGTTATCCATCACCAAATAATTCCCTTTTAGATCTTCATTAAGATCCATGATATCAAGCAGAACATTCATGAATTTGATAAAGTGCGCAGTTGTCGTACCTTTTGATATCGATTCTGAACTATCTTGCGCACTGCTCTCGTTATTACCATCAACATACTCTGTAGCTGGTTCTTCTATAATAAACCCATCTACAGTATGTTTTTTGCCCTTTGCTACTTTTCTTTTCTTGCTTGTAGATGCCTTGTTACTTTGAAGCTTCTCCTTTTTTGGTGGTGGCTTTTTTATCGCTACATGAATGACGCTAGATGCATGTATAGCTCCAATGATCGTATGAGATGGGGTCTTTGTTTTAGTTGTCTTCAATATGGCAGGTGTTCCAGTATCTGCTCTGGCCCAATTATTTCTCAAATTTATATGAAATCCAGCTTCGTCGATAAAGACACAGTTTTTGTAAAGTCTACATCAGAGTCTTTCCATTTCTAAACCATTCATATCTCGTCTCTAAGTTATCAGTAGAGTTTCTAGCTTCGGGTTCAAATGTAGGTTTTTTAATCGTCACAAGCATATTGTTCCTCAAGTGATGATTAAGCTGCGTTTTGGAAATAGAAAAGCCCATAAATTCTTTAGATAGCTCACCGATAATATCTTCAGAATAAAGCTGAGGATCTTTATCAAGTAGTTCTCGAATATATGTCTCGTGTTCAGTTGTGAAAGAGCTTGGACGGCCAACATTATTTTTTGAAAGTTTGTATGGCACTTCATTTGTTTCCTGATAACGTTTCCACCATCTCCGGGCAGTGCGAGGTTCAACACCAAGCTCTTTTGCAAATCGAACTATCCTTCCTCTTTCTTCAGCGCTTTCTAACATTCGATCTATAAACACCTCTCTTGTATTATCGCTATAATCATTATACATATTCTGCTTCAATTTTGGTTTCGTGACGGCTTTTGGCTCTACATCATCGCTTTTCTTAACATTTCTTTCCTCAATAGATTTGCGAGCTTCTAAATATGAGCTCTGTGTGGCTATAGTTTCCAGGACAACGTTAGGGTCTGTGATTTGCGTTAGAACATCCTCCATAGGGTCAAAAACTTTTATCCCTAGATCGTTGTAAACATTCTCCTGCCCATCTTCATAAAAAAGTATTTGCCATAGTTTCGAAATTAAAGTTGTTTAGAATTTAAAATGAAAAAAAGAAGTATTATTTGGGTCAATTTTTAACTTATTAGAGACGGTATTGGCTAACAGAAACTTTTAAATTACTTAAAGAGCAGTCATACTGTGATAAGGTGACAGTGATCAGATGAGAGGATAAAACCTGGTCCAGGAACCTAGATTGTGGAAGTGATACAAGTGCACTAGTTTTCAAAATAATATAAAATTCTATCCTTGCTTAATTTCTCGACTATAATTGAAACTCTCAAAACGCAAAGGAGTTATAACTAATCACTCAAATAAGAACGGGGAAGAGAGGATGTTTTAAGTCAATGGGTAAATTACGATCCCGATACTACAGGTCATACAAAGTCTCGAAAAGTAATTTACCTTGGATCTCACCCTGATCTGAGACAGCTTAATCACGAGAAACCTTCTTTATTTGACTAATAGAAAAGAAAATGTACAGTGCGGTTATCTAAAAATAAATGGCGCTACTGGAAAATGATTGTATGATTGCCATGTGCGTATAATTGAAATGTTTATTAAAGTAAGCAGCTTTATTAGAAGTTTGTCTTGTTATAGCAGTTGATGATTTGGCGCTTTGGAGTTTTCCTCAGAATTCCTGGAGATCGCTGAAGCGTACATTGTTACATGCTTCAGCAATTCTTTGTGATAGATCATCAACCTGTGGCGCTTCATTTTTCCTTTGAAAAGAGCGCAAAACTGCTCAATTAGGTTTAGCTCTGGCGAGTAAGGAAATAAGTACATTACTCTATAACCTCTACTCTCAATTTTTCTTATCATTGGATGAGACTTATGAATAGTACAGTTATTATTCATTACAAGATAACTACCCATATGACTCTCATCCATGTCCATGATATCCAGAAGCTCATTCATAAATTTCACAAAATGGGTAGTAGTTGTACCCTTTGCTCCTAGCTTGTTGTTTTCGACAGTGGTCCTCTCCTCAACATCAACGTCTATGGTAGGCTCTTTGCTCTTTGCCTCCTGCCAGCTTTCTTTTTTTTTAGGTTTAGCCGTCTTCGATGTTTGAGTTTTTGGGCCTCTTTGCTTTTTAGGTGGTGGTTTTTTAATAAAAACATGGATAACACTACTACAGTGTATAGCACCGATAATAGGGTGGGAGGAAGAACGAGTCTTTTCATTCTCTACTTGGTAGGTGTTCCTGCAGCCGACCTAGCCCAATTGTTTCTCATATTGATGTTAAATCCAGCCTGTTCAATAAAGACGCAGTTCTTAGTATAATCCAGATCTGAGTCTTTCCACTTCATGAACCACTCGTAATAATCTTTTATATATAAATGTCATAACTAACGTCTCTTCTAATAATAACCTGTTCAGTTCCTATACAAGTTAGCTACTCTCATACAGGTAATTACTACAAACGGATGATCGTTCTTATGTTCCATCTTTTATTTGTTTATATCAATTTATTACAATTAGCGTTCTGCTTATTGTTATATAACTAATTGAATAGTATTAACTTGTGCAACAACTTTTATAGAATTGATTTTAATACTGGACAATTCATTATACGAAGCTTTCTTGTTTCTTTTATTATAGTGAACATTTATTACTTTTATAAGTTTGAACTATCCTTAAATACAACAAATTCCATTAAAACCAACAGTACAGAAGAATCAGGTAAGTAAAAGCCAGAAAACAATAAGCCTTTTTTATTATAAGTCATAGAAGATCGGAAAAAAAACTATTGCTCAAAACGCAAGGCACAAGTTCTACCTTTGTTCTTGCTGCTATTAATGAGATTGTAGAAACATGGATGTGTAGGACGAGAGTTGCTAATCATTACATCAATTTCCGAAGCAGGTACGGATTTGCACAATCACCAAAATGATTCGGATACTTGAGCCAAAGATCGAAGATTTTTCAAGGATATAAATGATGAGAGTTCTTCCAATGAACGCAGGAATAATACTTTTGCGATTTCATACATGGTGTAGATGCCATCGTGACGTAATCGCATCAAATAGAAGACAATGAAGGCTGTTTAATACTTTATTGATTTTTGTATTTTTTTTTATTTTATATATTTAGTTATTAAGTTTTATTTTTAAAGAATATATAATGATCAATATAATTAGGGGTGGTCAGAGAAAATCTTTGATTTTCGATGACGTGGGTAGCTGGTCATTGAGACGGTAGTCGAAACCCTAGAATAATAGTAGTTATTCTAAACACTTGCCTACAAGTGCCTCATGAACAGTGTTCTAGTAGAGAATTTTGGAACAAAATTTGATACATTTTTTACACTAAAGGAACTTTAGGTCCTTTGTTCTGTAAAGAAATTTTTTTAAAAATTTTGATACTTTTTTTACAGAATAGAATTATATATAATTTTGTTATTTATAACAAATATTATTAATATAATTCATTCTCCGGATAAAACTTTTAAAAGATAATTATTTTAAAGATATTTGTGAAGCTGAGGAGGGTCCCTTTAGGGTGGAAGCCTAGCTGAATATATAGAAGGCTGTTTAATACTTTATTGATTTTTGTATTTTTTATTTATTTTATATATTTAGTCATTAAGTTTTATTTTTAAAAGAATATATAATAATCAATATAATTAGGGGTGGTCAGAGAAAATCTTTGATTTTCGATGACGTGGGTAGCTGGTCATTGAGACGGTAGTCGAAACCCTAGAATAATAGTAGTTATTCTAAACACTTGCCTACAAGTGCCTCATGAACAGTGTTCAATGGGGATTAAACTTGAACTATTAAATATATCACATTTAATTGTTTAATATTTATCAATGACTTAATAATAATTTTTTATAAATATATATAATTTTCAGATTTTGAAATTTTTTTAGGATGAATATCAATTTAATATATAAAACCTATTTACATTTGTTACCATGGAGGAACAATTCTATTTATTTATTGTGAATATAAATCAAAGCGGTTGATAGTTTATAAGGTGTAAGTTGTAAAAAAACTTGCACCACGACTCTTTGTGGTTCTTTCTCTTAGAGAAAGGTTCTTGAATTTCAATAAAAAAATAATATTTTTTGTCTTTGAAAAATTCAAAATAACTTTATACTTATTTTAATTATATATAATTATCAGTACTATAATGACCTAATTTTTATCTTATAAAATAATTCTACATACTTTTTTTTATAAAATTGAATTTTACTATATTATATGATTTAGATATCAAAATATAAGATAAATAGTAATTATATAGATATTTAATTTTGGTTTTGGCCTAAGGTTATAACTTTTTCCTGATTGCTTTGTAAATAAGTTAAAAGAACAGTTTTTATTATAAATTTTCAAAATGGTATTTGATGAATATAATAGCTCACTAAATAAAGAAGAAGTTTTAAAATATAAAACATTATTACAGGAAGAGATAGATAAATTAATTATAAATGAATGGGGATTTATAAATGAAAATTGGAAGAAAAAACAAAATAATTATAAGCATCGAACAGAATTGAAATATATTAAAGAAATAGATGAAGTTAAAAAAGAATTATTACAAAAGTTAGGATATACTTCTGTATTTTTCTTTTTAACTAAATTATATACACATAAGGATTATCCTTCACTATATTTTGAAATTGAAAAAGGGTTATATTTAATATATCATCTTGTATCAGGTATTACATCTAAAGATATGAAACGAAATATACCATATACATCATTCTATAAATTTTATAAAGAATTTTGGATAACAAATTATGATAGTTTGAATAAATATGTAGATATATGTCTAAAAATATGTTTTCTAATATTAAAATAAGAATTTATTCTACATTAATAAAAAACCCTAAAAATTTTAAAAATATAACATTACTATTAGTTGGTCATAATAGTACTATTGAATATGATAAGCCTGACATTTCTACACAAAAGCGATGGTCATATAAATTAAAAACATCAGGTTTAAGAGCACAATTATTAATAGATATTTATAATTTTATAATTGCAGTTTCTGATAGTTAACTATGTGGAGTTAGTAGTGATGGTGGTATGTTTTTAAACATGAGATTATATACAAAAATAGATAAAAGAGATGTTTTAGCTATTAATGGTGGTTACACATTATTTATTAAACAGTTTGAAGACTTATATAAAAAGAAACGTATTTCATTAAGTGATAATAATTTCTTTTATCCTATTAGAAAAGATCCTAATGAAGAATTGAATATACAAGAAAAACATTTTAAAGATGTATTTGGAAGTTTTCGGTCAGCTATAGAAAACCAATTTGTGAATTAGGAAATAAATTTAAACGATTTTCTAATAATAACTCTATATTAAAAACAGATGATTATAAATATATTAACTTATAAATAAAAGTAGCATTTTTACTTAAAAATATACAATTATTTACAGATACATTCAATATAATTACACAAGAATACCATAAACTATGGGCTGAAAAAAACTTTGAATTTCCTACTGATGAAAAAAAATAGATATAGTTTTAAATAATGAGATAAAGCAAATGGAAAAAATTAAAATAATGAGTGAATTACAAAAAGATTTATCAGATTTATCATTAGAAAGTGATAATATGATTATTGATGATAATAATAATAATGAAGAATCTAATAGTCATATAATTGATAATAATGAAGATATAGATTTCCCTGAATATAAAAATATTAATAGAAAAAAAAGAAAGAAAAATAAAAGTGAGAGAAAATTAATTTAAATTTAATTAGAGAAATTAACAAAAATAATAATTTTTATGAAATTGAAACAGTTATAGAACATAGATTAAGTAAAAATAATGAATATGAATTTCTTGTTAAGTCGAAAGATTATGATGAAACAGATAATTCCTGGGTAAATGAGAAAGATTTCAATGAAAAATAACTATTAAAAGATTATTTTAATACCAAAAACATTAAGTATTGAATTAATTATTGTTGTATATGTTATATGTAGATTATTATTATAATGTTTCTAATAATTATATTTAAATTATTAAATGTAGTAGGTTTCATAATTTTGTTATTAAACATAAGGATAAGGATTAATTCTCAATGGTAAATCCATGAATCTGAAAAGCTAAACATGCATTCCAATGGTAGGTATCGATGGCTTCTTTGCAAAAGATTCCTAAGTGCAGGAGATTATGGCATAGATCATTGTTGTTTGTAGTGGGCTGTGCCACTTTTGCTTCACCAAAGCCCAGGCTTGGCCAATACGAGATTTGGGTGAGTTTTGTCAGGGTTGCATTTGGTCTTTTATCACCACTGGCATCCGATTCGATATTGGTCCATCGTAATAAAACACGCTTTTCAGGACTGGATAAGATACATGACAAGATTGGATGAAAATAGGTGGTTGTTAATTCATATTCGCTAATTGATTGTTTGTTCTTTATAGCCTGTAATGATAACTCACCCATCGCTTTGGCAATACCACGGATCATGCAAGCAGTGTGTATATCTACATGTCCACAAAGCTGTAATAATTGTACATTGGCTTCATCATTATCCAGTCGATGCATTTGTACCGAATCAATAATCCGAAATACTTTTCTGCAGATAACGTCGCCAGTATCGAGTTTCAGTTTCAATGATTCATGCATAAGATTTTCGGTCAGAGCATCCAAGATTTCTTCAGTGAAAACATCAATCATGAGTTGACTATGTTGTTGAGGTGCTAAGAGCAATACATGAGATAAAGCGAGTGCTTCATGGATCGATGTTTCCATATGAAGCAAAGCAGATGCTGTGATGTCAACTACCTTTTGTTGAAATCATGAATAATGTAGAGATGTTTGTGCTTTTGAACATCCATCCAGCTGAAGCATTTGCATGAGAAAGCAGTGTCGATGATGTCTGATGTCCAGGCAGATCTAGGAGATCAGCGTCATTATGTCTTGTCATATCCGCAGAAGCCGACGAGTCATCGGTGGAATTCTCATTATCAGTGGCAACGAAGCAGTTAGAGTTTAAAACGGAATCTGCCAGTACAGGCGTATTCGCAGACTCTTGCCAGTCATTAGTTTCTTGATTATCAGAATTCGAGGTAATAGAAGTGGTGTTATCATCGATTGATGGTGACGTCGAGCGATGAGTTGTATCATGGCTGGAAACGCGAACGGATGTCGAGCAATTGACATCAGGCAAGACTTGAATTTCTTGTTGAATAACTTTTTGCACGTATTCGGCACTGCTGAGATGTGCGTCAAGATCCGTCACCAATCGTGGTTTCTGTAACCAAAACTGTTTGCTTGCGAAGGAACTTTTCCATAAATTGAATTCCTTTGTCTGCCTATCGCAATCATCCGGTATATACTTGGATATAATGTTTTTATACCAGGAATAAGCGTAGTCCCTTTTGAACAAATCGAATTTCTCACAAAAAGCAGGAAAAGTGAGGGTGGCCTTATTTTCGATGCAATAGGTGATGTGTTGAGGATTGTTGACTTTCTGGTTCATTCTACAGCCATTTGCTTTTTGTGGGCAGATTCGCTATCACTTTTGTTGGCCGGTCGCTTTTGTGACATCAAGAACTTCGTCAACTTTAAATAAATGGTAAGAAAACAAGGTAACAAAGCAGGAAGTTGGAACACTGAAAAATTGGAATGATGACGCAACCAGCTGAGAAATGTATCTTAAAAAGCAATAATGGGAATTTTGTTTTCACAGTTGAGCAACAAAAGAGATGTTTGTGTTCAGTAAGCTGGTTTATGAATCATCTGAACGACCATTCTACTGTTCCTTTGTCTTAAACGGTAGCATTGGGACGTTGTTTTGTCCCTTTGGACTATAATATAAGCATTGGAATGGGTTCACTTTTGTTTCGGAATGTTTGTGCTTAGTAGGGTGGTTTACGAACCATCTGAACGGCCATTCTACTGTCCCTTTGTCTTAAGTAATGGCAGAGACGTTGTTTTGTCTCCTTGGCCTATTATATAAGCATTGGAATAGGTTTCCGATTGCCTCGTGTAAAAAAACCTTCACATCTAGACGGACAAACAAGCAATATCATCCTGTGTAGATGATTACCAGACCCTTGCGAGGAAGTCGAAAACATCATGAGCTGCGTATATATTTCGTACTAACCTTTTCACTTTTTATGATCTAGTAATTTGATTGTTGTCTAGTTCAGCCATTCAATAAACGACATCGCTGGCTACGTAGTACTACTTTGACCGATATCGAATCGGATGCCAGTGGTGATAAAAGACCAGATGCAACCCTGACAAAACTCACCCAACTGTCGTATGGGCCAAGCCTGGGCTTTGGTGAAGCAAAAGTGGCATAGCCCACTACAAACAACAATGATCTATGCCATGATCTCCTGCGCTTAGGAATCTTTTGCAAAGAAGCCATCGATACCCACCATTGGAATGCATGTTTAGCTTTTCAGATTCACGGATTTACCATTGTCTTCTATTTGATGCGATTACGTCACGATGGCATCTACACCATGTATGAAATCGCAAAAGTATTATTCCTGCGTTCATTGGAAGAACTCTCATCATTTATATCCTTGAAAAATCTTCGATCTTTGGCTCAAGTATCCGAATCATTTTGGTGATTGTGCAAATCCGTACCTGCTTCGGAAATTGATGTAATGATTAGCAACTCTCGTCCTACACATCCATGTTTCTACAATCTCATTAATAGCAGCAAGAACAAAGGTAGAACTTGTGCCTTGCGTTTTGAGCAATAGTTTTTTTTCCGATCTTCTATGACTTATAATAAAAAAGGCTTATTGTTTTCTGGCTTTTACTTACCTGATTCTTCTGTACTGTTGGTTTTAATGGAATTTGTTGTATTTGAGGATAGTTCAAACTTATAAAAGTAATAAATGTTCACTATAATAAAAGAAACAAGAAAGCTTCGTATAATGAATTGTCCAGTATTAAAATCAATTCTATAAAAGTTGTTGCACAAGTTAATACTATTCAATTAGTTATATAACAATAAGCAGAACGCTAATTGTAATAAATTGATATAAACAAATAAAAGATGGAACATAAGAACGATCATCCGTTTGTAGTAATTACCTGTATGAGAGTAGCTAACTTGTATAGGAACTGAACAGGTTATTATTAGAAGAGACGTTAGTTATGACATTTATATATAAAAGATTATTACGAGTGGTTCATGAAGTGGAAAGACTCAGATCTGGATTATACTAAGAACTGCGTCTTTATTGAACAGGCTGGATTTAACATCAATATGAGAAACAATTGGGCTAGGTCGGCTGCAGGAACACCTACCAAGTAGAGAATGAAAAGACTCGTTCTTCCTCCCACCCTATTATCGGTGCTATACACTGTAGTAGTGTTATCCATGTTTTTATTAAAAAACCACCACCTAAAAAGCAAAGAGGCCCAAAAACTCAAACATCGAAGACGGCTAAACCTAAAAAAAAAGAAAGCTGGCAGGAGGCAAAGAGCAAAGAGCCTACCATAGAGTACGTTGATGTTGAGGAGAGGACCACTGTCGAAAACAACAAGCTAGGAGCAAAGGGTACAACTACTACCCATTTTGTGAAATTTATGAATGAGCTTCTGGATATCATGGACATGGATGAGAGTCATATGGGTAGTTATCTTGTAATGAATAATAACTGTACTATTCATAAGTCTCATCCAATGATAAGAAAAATTGAGAGTAGAGGTTATAGAGTAATGTACTTATTTCCTTACTCGCCAGAGCTAAACCCAATTGAGCAGTTTTGCGCTCTTTTTAAAGGAAAAATGAAGCGCCACAGGTTGATGATTGAAGAGAATCTATCACAAAGAATTGCTGAAGCATGTAACAATGTACGCTTCAGCGATCTCCAGGAATTCTGAGGAAACTCCAAGCGCCAAATCATCAACTGCTATAACAAGACAAACTTCTAATAAAGCTGCTTACTTTAATAAACATTTCAATTATACGCACATGGCAATCATACAATCATTTTCCAGTAGCGCCATTTATTTTTAGATAACCGCACTGTACATTTTCTTTTCTATTAGTCAAATAAAGAAGGTTTCTCGTGATTAAGCTGTCTCAGATCAGGGTGAGATCCAAGGTAAATTACTTTTCGAGACTTTGTATGACCTGTAGTATCGGGATCGTAATTTACCCATTGACTTAAAACATCCTCTCTTCCCCGTTCTTATTTGAGTGATTAGTTATAACTCCTTTGCGTTTTGAGAGTTTCAATTATAGTCGAGAAATTAAGCAAGGATAGAATTTTATATTATTTTGAAAACTAGTGCACTTGTATCACTTCCACAATCTAGGTTCCTGGACCAGGTTTTATCCTCTCATCTGATCACTGTCACCTTATCACAGTATGACTGCTCTTTAAGTAATTTAAAAGTTTCTGTTAGCCAATACCGTCTCTAATAAGTTAAAAATTGACCTAAATAATACTTCTTTTTTTCATTTTAAATTCTAAACAACTTTAATTTCGAAACTATGGCAAATACTTTTTTATGAAGATGGGCAGGAGAATGTTTACAACGATCTAGGGATAAAAGTTTTTGACCCTATGGAGGATGTTCTAACGCAAATCACAGACCCTAACGTTGTCCTGGAAACTATAGCCACACAGAGCTCATATTTAGAAGCTCGCAAATCTATTGAGGAAAGAAATGTTAAGAAAAGCGATGATGTAGAGCCAAAAGCCGTCACGAAACCAAAATTGAAGCAGAATATGTATAATGATTATAGCGATAATACAAGAGAGGTGTTTATAGATCGAATGTTAGAAAGCGCTGAAGAAAGAGGAAGGATAGTTCGATTTGCAAAAGAGCTTGGTGTTGAACCTCGCACTGCCCGGAGATGGTGGAAACGTTATCAGGAAACAAATGAAGTGCCATACAAACTTTCAAAAAATAATGTTGGCCGTCCAAGCTCTTTCACAACTGAACACGAGACATATATTCGAGAACTACTTGATAAAGATCCTCAGCTTTATTCTGAAGATATTATCGGTGAGCTATCTAAAGAATTTATGGGCTTTTCTATTTCCAAAACGCAGCTTAATCATCACTTGAGGAACAATATGCTTGTGACGATTTAAAAACCTACATTTGAACCCGAAGCTAGAAACTCTACTGATAACTTAGAGACGAGATATGAATGGTTTATGAAATGGAAAGACTCTGATGTAGACTTTACAAAAAACTGTGTCTTTATCGACGAAGCTGGATTTCATATAAATTTGAGAAATAATTGGGCCAGAGCAGATACTGGAACACCTGCCATATTGAAGACAACTAAAACAAAGACCCCATCTCATACGATCATTGGAGCTATACATGCATCTAGCGTCATTCATGTAGCGATAAAGAAGCCACCACCAAAAAAGGAGAAGCTTCAAAGTAACAAGGCATCTACAAGCAAGAAAAGAAAAGTAGCAAAGGGCAAAAAACATACTGTAGATGGGTTTATTATAGAAGAACCAGCTACAGAGTATGTTGATGGTAATAACGAGAGCAGTGCGCAAGATAGTTCAGAATCGATATCAAAAGGTACGACAACTGCGCACTTTATCAAATTCATGAATGTTCTGCTTGATATCATGGATCTTAATGAAGATCTAAAAGGGAATTATTTGGTGATGGATAACTGTACTATACACAAATCAAAACCGATGATGAGAAAAATCGAAAGTCGTGGCTATAAGCTGATGTATCTGCCTCCATATTCGCCTGAATTAAACCCAATTGAACAGTTTTGGACAATCTTAAAAGGAAAATTGAAACGCCACAAACTATTGAATGAAGAAAAAATGTCTGATAGAATTGCTGAGGCATGTAATGCCATACCTGCTGAAATTCTATACAGCTTTGCCAGTCATTCTAAACGACAAATCATTCAATGTTATAATAAAACTCCATTCTAAACGTTTTGAAGTCAAAAACACATATCATTTTTAGGTCAATTTGATTTAACTTATTGTGACATTTCTCTTATTTCAAAAGGACAAAATCTCTAGACAAAAGGAACAATCATTTTTGGCTTAGTGCCATTAATTTTTTTGGAAAGTGACATTTATTTTTTGGTTACAGACATTCAATTTTCTCAAAGTGACAAAATTTACCGTTCTTACTGTATATGATGCGATGATGGTGATGGTGGTACCTGCGTTCCTGAAGATACTTTATGTGCGAAGCAGCATGATGATGCTTAGCATAAGAAAATAATAGCATATCACGGTATGTACTATTTTTAACTCTCTCTCTCTATTAGTGGACCCCACCTCCTAGTATTTAGACTCGCGTAGAATTGTATTTTTACATATTGAAATATAAATTACCAGACAAATGAAAGAAACTGATACCATAGCAAAGTAACAAAGTGGCAAATATACCGGGCTCATGTTGTGGCACTTTACGGAGCCGAGTATGAGGATTGGCTGTTACACTCGAATCCATGTACTCTGTTTATCGTTTCTGCGTCATAGTCTACTATTATACTACTACAAACTGCTACTTGTAGGAGGTTGGTAAGCTAGACTGACCCATTTATGACATATGTTCTTTGCCAGTGATAGCACAGATTCCTGAACAAGAGCTGTAAGTAATTTTAAATGATTAAAAGGTAATAGCTAAGCCGAGTTTTTGAATATTGACACCAGCTGCTGGACAGGCAAATGAACGGACCCGCGCGTGTGTGGGTTGGGTTGTCATCGAAACAGCTGGAATCAGCACTTTTTCTCCGCTCCAAAAAAAAAAAAAAATTTTTTTTGTTATAAAGTGCAAGGCTGCGCGCCCGTTTGTTTTGTTTTCCTTTCATTTCCTTCGTCCTTTTCCAAGGTTTGAGTATGGTAAGTTTTTGTCTTTTTCTCTGTGTGCAATGCTCTTGGTATTTCAAAATGATGTTTGTAATTTGCGTTTGACCGGCATTTCACTGCGCACTTTCGCCGGTGCACTATGCGGGATATGTTATTATGGAACAAATTTTTTTTCCCTGATTGTTTACCGAGCAAAAGCACCTTTGTGCGTTTTTAAGAGAAAGTACTCGTTGAACTAAACCATCTTCTGTTCTTCGTGTTCTCTTCCAGATTCAACTCTGCTCAATGCGAGGATAACGGCTCTACCGGGTGCTGTGCACTCATTCCTACTGACTTGTCACGTATCCAAGAAAGGTAAATATAGTGTGCACTTTCCTTTTCGTTTGTCTTTTCTCGGTGGAAGCGAAGATGATGAGGATGGCGATGATGTTGGCAACAAGAGAAATGCAGATGATGAAGATTTATTTGCTACTGCTGAGAGATAATGACGACATTTTTCCACCAAGATCTCTGATCTATTTCTCTTGCAACTATCATCAGCGCTATCATTATCATGCTCGTTGCTGCTGTTACTTTGAGCATTATACAGATAAGCTGACCTCTTTATTGAATTGATTTCTAGGTAACTAGCTTAGCTTTTATATCTTAAAAGTTCTTAATATCGAAAAATAAAATACTTCTTGTGTTTGCCAGATATGTGTTCTTTATTATTTTGCGAAGGCGATTTCGAACTTTGAGTAAACTTTCTGTGTTAATATAAGTAGTCTTGCATAAGGGATCAGATAGAAGCCCATGTTAAATTCTGCCGGTATGGCATATACTGGATGTGAACTAATAACCCTGGACTTCTGGAAACCAGCAATTCTTTAATCAGCTACTTTTACCATATAATCGCACTATCGAGGTGCATGACCATCAAGGTCAGTGAATTGGATCTGGCACAGTTTAAAGCTATCAAACAGCAACACATGATCTAATAAACGGATGAGACGCATATAACAGTCGATATGCTACAGTACACGCTTCAAAATTTCATGAGACAACGTACCTAAGTCGTAGAATAAGTCCTTAAGAAGAAACAGACAAACACTCGCGGTGATGGGGTGAAGCATACAACCAACTAGAATTGGAAGAAGACCTAATCTTGGGATATACACCGGCAGCAGCAGCACGTATGGTGATTAGAACGCATCAAAGAAACGGAAACGACGCCAATTACATACAATATTCGACGACCAAATTATACACCCAGAAACCAAGATAGACGGTACCCTTATCAACCCAACCAACGAAGAATTTACAACAAACAGCAAAGTGGGAACGGCAGACAACAACGCCCGTACCAGGATCGGCCAGCGACCCTATTAACAGCAACAGAACAATAACAACGGAAGACCGCATCGTCAAAAGGATAATGATCAAGGAAAATCGAATGGAAGATCGAACCAAGACATTGAACGGACCACGAGAATGCTGAAGGAAGAACGACCGAACAATAATAATCGAACCACCGTATACAGCAACTTTGCTCACTTAGTGGAGCGATACACAGACGAAACCTAACAAACCCGCAAGGAAAAGACGACCAACCCAGAATAAACAAAACACGACTTACAACGTCGTGAGTAAGAGATCACACATGATTTATACACTGCACATAAAAGACCTTGAGCCTGAAAAACACTGAAAAGAGAAGAAGCATAAACTTGAATTAAGGCGCAAAGATCAATAAAGTTGTGTATGCAGACAAACCAGACCCTAGAGCGAAGCGAGAACGACAAGTACAATTTCAAGACCAGGAAACGAACCGACAACCATCTTCTTCAAGGACCATTCAATCGACTGGTCAGCCACAACACCAACCAAAAGTCATGCCTGATGAAAGCATGGAACAAGTATCTAGACCCTCTCAAGGACAGCGGAAAAGATCATTATATGCCGCCACACGCACAAGATCAGAGCATGACAATGCTGCCATCATCTCGACAACACAAGAAGATCAAGAAAAGACGGAACGACCTTCCGAAGGACCGACAACAATAGAACGACCAAAATTAAAGGGAAAGGAGACAACACGAAAAATTATCATTGATGAACCAAAGCCAACGAAGCCTCGACGATCACCCAGGATTTAAGCCGGCCATCAACTATGGCATTCTCGGCATCCGTGAAACAATAATCAACTTTGTGATAACCACCCCCATCATTTTCCCAAGCCCCAACCATCCACCCGAAGGCTTGTTTATTTTATTGTTGTTGTTGTTGTTCCCGCCGTAGCCAGGCAACCAGGGGTGGGCCGAAGCGACCAAAGATGCCGTGCTGTCACCCTACATGTAACAGATCATCCTCGCCGGGTCGGTCCAGCCGGAGGTAATTCCTCACGGACACCCTGAAGATCGGCGGGGATGTAATCAACCAGGATGCCCGTGGGGAACCACCGGTGGAACGCCTGCCAGGCTGCGTATTGTGCAACCTGGCCACGAACGCCCAACAGCCGGACTCCAGGTTTCCGGAGCGACGACCGCTACATCTAGTTTAGAAAGATAATTATTAAACACGAGTCTACGATTTAAAGTAAGAGGACGCATTTTAAAAAATCACCAGGACGTTCGTTAAGGCGTTCCAGGGAAGCGTGCACGGCTGGATTCCGCATCCCTTGCTCGCCGGGCTCCGGCCGGACGGACCCTCGGCCGACCGCGGCGCAAATGGTCACCACGCTGCGCCGTTGGGGCTATCAAGTGTAAAGCATCCATCATATCCAAAGGTTAGTTACTCTTTCTAATCCATGTCGTGCTTTTTTTCTAAAATCCGGATACCCACCAGTTGGCAGCACCGACCCCGACGGAGCGGAAGCTGTCTATTGCAACAAAACGCAAGTTAGTCTTCTATTTGTTACAGCCTTCCTTTCCCATACTGAGGGCAACAAAATGGTCACGAAACTGATTATTGGGACGAAGACGTTCAATGCGCTGATCACAAGCAGTATGGCATCGATACGCCGAGTAACCCTGAGTGTGGCGCCAGCACTATTAATTTTATTTTGGATCAACGCTCTTCGCTAGCATGCAAAGTACTGATTGACAAAAACTCTTGGGAGGCTGGTTTGGCGCTTTCCGAAATACTGAGTGCAAAACCAATAATGAAGAACACAATCATGTTGCTCAGTTGCGACAGCTGCGTACCCAAATTTGATCAACAATAATGATGGCATCCCAACATTGAGCCGCGAGACGGTGCAAAAATGCTTCAGTGACACTACAACAAACGGAAAAGTCAAATCTATACTGGCGAACATTCTGATCCATTTCGACAGCGCTGATGGTGCCACCATGATACCCATTATCGCAACTCTGCTTTGAAATGTTGAAGCTGAATCCTTGGCAACCATCTTGACACCATACTTGGCAAAAGCCAACAAATCTATGGTTGTGAAGACAGTTCTTGACTGTTTCGTGCCATATTGACTCTTCTCATTCCTTTTCTCAACCCATATCTCCTATCTTATCTCGTCCTGTATACCTCTTTTCGATGCGCCTCCAATACATAACCATGTTGAGAATTCCCAAATGTTTTCGTTGACTAATTTTTTTTTCAGTTGCTTATTTCTAATCAAATGAATCATTGTTGGTTGATCGCACTCCGGATCACCTTTAAAGATACTGTGTGTGGAAAAAAACCTTTGCTTTCACAGAGCTAGCACACGACGAGTGATAATCGGTTTTATGAGCTTCCAGCTTTTGCTTCGACCTAAATTGTGCAGTGCATACAATGTACGTTTCATTGCGCTGTTTCCGCAAGGCCGCTGCTTGACCTGCTGTTCATTTGCGTTATTCCAGGAGCAACAGTTGAACTTGAGTGCCGCTCTTCTTCTTTTTTTTTACTTTACTGACCCAAAACCTCAATCACACATTGGTCATACGCTGTTTGCGCACTTTGCGCTTCGTCATTTTGACAAAAATAAAAACATGAAGCTGGTTAAATAAGTGTTATGATACAGGATGTGCGCAAAAAGTTTCAGGAAAGAGTGTTGGCAAAATGAGAGAAGAGCGATGGACATAAGACTGTAAACATCTTCGGTATAGTTTGCTTAATAAACGAAGCTAGACAAGAAGTATTACTTTATTCGCTGAAACTAAGAACCGAGTTTTATTGATCAACACAATTAAAGTGTCGTGGACGGCTGTCAGTGTCGCTTATCATACTCTTCTAAATTCCATAAACATGCCTCTTTGGAGTCACAAATATCATCATCATTGCCAATTCCAAAGTGTCGTTTATTTCTTTCCCTTTTTGAAATCAGACAACATTTGTTCATACAAAGCGTCGTCGACTAAAACTTTTGCTGCTGCTTTTGCGACGCATCGTGCTGCCCGTATGGTGTTTACGTGAGCTTTTTCTGTGCGCGCAGCCTTCATAAAATCTACAGAGTGGATCGGCGCATCGATACCAATGCCAAAACTAGATGATCAAGGTGAGATGAGAAAAAAAGCTACCATCATCAATATAAGCGTTTCTCTTTTGGGTTTGTAGGTCTATACGTTACGTACTGGGGATGAGTAGCTGGTAGAATTCTTGTAACGTTGCCGAAATCCGTGCTGCCGGTCAAAATCTTCTCTTCCTCGGATCGAGGCAAGAATTCAACATTTTCCTTCTCCATGTATTCGCGATAGATATCAGTCAGGGTATCGTTCATAAACACATCTAGTAGAATTCATTTCAATGTTATTTTAAACCTAGTGCTTATTGTTCTTGCTGCAATAACGCTTTATCTCTGTACGATCTGTATACCTTTCACAGCTCCATTAGGGTCCCACGTTATCTTGAGCTTGCAACCAGTTGCATTTGCTGCAGACTGGAAGCAGTTTTCTAACTTTTGTTTGAGCTCAACCAATTGTTCGTATTTGAGAGAACGCGCTATAAACTTGCCCGATACGTAATCTGATATGATTATGGCAATGGAGATAGATAAGTCTTCTTTTCTTTTTTTTTTTTTTAAAAATATACACCCTCAGTGTTCAAAAATAGAGCTACTACTACTGTGCAATTTACACTTTACCTGGGATAACATTGGCCTGATATCATTTTTCACCGGATGATACACATGTTAATACTGATTTTTCTGCTTTGGTTATCGACTTCAAATAAGTTCCTCACCGACTTGCCGCCTTCCAAAATAATACCGTGAATTCTACGGAAGGGAAGAGAATGCTTGAGTATGTAACCCCACACGCCCCTTATTCAGAGAGAAACGTAGCAGCAGATGAAACTTACCTGTTGCTAGTCAATGTCTGTTGTCTCAACATGGAAACATTGTTCCATGCTTGCATAAATGCATCGAGAGCATTAATGCCATCCCACGGCTTCATACCAGCATGTGTAGCTTTACCAAAGAATTCAACAGTAGCCCCGTCCAGTGCAAGCATGTTGCAATAATTTACATCGTAAGGATACGGATGTCTTATAAGTGTTCGCAGTAGCACTATTGTGAGTTCCCTGAACATGACTACTAGTAGTAGTATTGATAAGAAGCTTACAACATCAGTGCAAAGTCGACTCTTTTTTGAAATTCGCCGTTCTTGACGAGAACTACTTTTCCTTCAGTCGTCTCTTCCGCCGGCGTTCCAAACAGCACAACCTTGCCCTGGATCAATTTACGTTCCAACAAGGCTTTGATAGCCACAGCACTTGCGACACCACTGATAGCAATCAAGTTATGACCACAACCGTGTCCGACTCTATAATTACATGTTTTCCCCCACACCCCCCAGTATCCACATACGTTAAAAATGAATGAAATGCTCCTTTCCTTCCATACATTAGGTTCTTAATATGTTGTATTACCCTGGTAATGCGTCATATTCGCTGCAAAAGCCAAGTCTACGACCCTGAGAGCTATTGGAATATTCAGCCAAGAAAGCTGTATCCAGGCCCGCAACCGAACGAGTTACTGTAAACCCCTTCTTCTCCAGGTATCCGGTAAGTAAAGCATGAGCATGGAATTCCTCATTGCTTGTTTCCGGGTCATCGTGAATCTATAACGGAATGAATTTGCCACCTTTAATTTCAAAATAAAAAAGAACTCCCACGAACTTACTTTCAAGCTAATGTCGCGTAGCTCGTCATTAATCTCGTCAATAGCTTGTGCAACAACATGCTCGATATGTGTGTCCATAATAAGTTGCAAGAAGAGACAAAGAAGGGCGCGGGCGGGAGTTATTCTTCATGCACAATAAAAAGTTAGAGCTTTTGTGTTACACCGAGACTCGGCAGACAATAATGCAATAGCTCGGGTCATCGTGGTGGTCAACAACCAAGCGAAGATTGAGAGTTTCTCTTTTTTTTATTGGTATTATTATTATTCTCATTGATGTTTTTTTATTGATACAGGTCTTGATTCACTGGTGCGCCAAAGAGATGATCCCAGCTTTTGGGCGGTGTCCATGGTCCTTTTATTTAGGATAGAGAGAACAAAAAGGTCAGCAATTATGAAGCATGAACGATGGATTCTATTTCGCAACAGCCCGCTGCATGAATAATAAGGATTCTTACCTTTTGTTGAGCGGATCTCAGTTGCTGTGTTGAAGACGTCAGCCAAATGAAAGCTGTCAGAAACATTATCTACAGAGAATGCATGTTTAATCGAAATAAATCTGGGGCATGACAGACAAAGAATAATAAGATGGCGTACCTCCTTCCAGAGCAAACATGACAATCATGGTAGTTGGCACTTGTGCTTCATTTAATGCCTTATAGAGTGATTTGCCAATTCCAGTACCATGGAGCAACTCTTCACTTTCCAATTCAGAAACGCCCTTTACTGGAGAACCAAGAAATCGGAATGGAATTCTGTAAGCGTTTATTTATATATGTCCAACGTTAGCGATCGTTTATATAGAACTGAATGGCCATTGGGTGTGCTCTCTCTCTCTCTCACACGTTTTTTCTTACCCAGTGATCTGCAAATCTGTTCGCATACTTGCGTCGGCACTTGTTAAAACAATGACTCGAGAAAACCGGTATTTCTGGATAAATGCAACTAGGTCACGAATATATTGACGTCGCGTGCCCTATACCAACAACGATACAATCATGAGCTATCCTCCTCGATAATTACAACTGTTTGTGGTCTACAAAAGAGCTTACCTACTTTGATTGTGGGTGCTCGCTGTTGTACCATGGTCCATTGTTGGTCTTTGGTCTGGAATACTATAGGAAACATAGTGTCAGTCAAAGTTATATTTGATCAAAGTATTATTACGGACTCTATATACCTTCAACAGCCAGTGAAGCGCCAGGTCTGTCTTCTCGAGCGCCTGCAACAGGCATGACAGCTTCATTCGCAATAAATCCGACGCGTTCGGGTTGAAGTGTATGAATCAAGAGATCGCACGTCAGTTGCGGAACATTGCCGATGGAAACCGAGGGCTATGTAACCAATGCTCTTAAATTTCAGCAAACTGATAATAGATATTTCCAAATATAAAAAGTTGAAAGATTTTAGTATACCAGAATAAGTGTGGAGTTGGCCAATTTCTCGGAATCGAAAGAAGGAACAGGAACAAATGAATCCATTGGTATAGTATGTAGTGTGTTAACGCCAGATAACGCGCGGATCTGGAGGCCTTCGTAATCACGCCTGACTTTCAAAAATCAATGTTCGCGCTTGGAAGAAAGAACCCATGACAGGCACAGTTTAACATGATGGCTAGTAGGAGTAATATGCTGGTACCGCTGTTGTTTGCTGCCACCAAAAAGATAAGCAGCATCTCTTTTCTTTTTGGCTCCTCAAATCACCTGTCACCCCTATCAGTTGTAATAATTTTCCTCATTGCCGGTCCACCTAGCATCGTAAAAATAAATAAACACTTAGTCGTTGGCAAATAGCCATAGATAAAGGCAGATACATGCATGACCTTCTTCTCCCAGTCCTTCCAAATACTGGAGCCGCAGCACACAACAATGGCTTTGGGACTCCTTGAAACGCCCGTGGAAACTTGGCAAGACATTGCTCGCTATTATCTACCAGACATGCTTTTTATTTCATATAATTTTATGCATTTGTGGCCTGCCAAGCGGGCGACAGCACTCGTTTAGCGGACTCAAAATAAGCCATCATTAGTCGCAAACGCTTATTACTCTTTTAAGTCTAGCAAATGACGTTCTCGTATACTGCCTTCATAGACAATGAGCTTCCACTCCGTTTCTTCATTATTTCCTCATTAGCATGTATATGCTCCCTATATGCTGTATCCTTATTTTATACAGTTCATTGTTATACAAGCTTTGTGTAAGCCCTACAATAATCACGGCAATAACTTTCCATTAAGTAGATAAAACCAGGCGATAATTACAGAAAAAGGTAAATGATGCATTTTTTTTTATTAATGCTGGTATCGTCGTTGACATTACTTGTTTTCAAGCGTCTCTTTTTCAGCGTATGTTTTGTTGCAATGCTAATTCATTAAGGAGGATGGATCGCAAACTCTTGAGCAAGGACGGACGCATTAGCATCGCCCAGCTCAACAAGGTAAAAGTAACCGTCAAGAACTGTCGGGTATGGACGTGAACACATCCAAAGCGGTTTAACAATTACTATTACTATACATTCCTTGCTCAAGGACTGCAAATCAGAGGGCGTGAATGCTAAAATGGATGGTATAAATCCAGGCAACACGTAAATTTGAAAGAACTTTCTTACATAATCTTCACAACACAAAGCCGGGTGGGGGGGGGAGGTAAGGGGTGAGTGATCGGATTTTCGTTAGGGGCCATTGAAGGGTTATGCTGATGATGAAATTGTTGTCGTTGCAGCCAAGTAAGTAGGCGATCTCCAAAACAGTTGGATTAATCCACTCTCGATTTGGCTCCTCTCGATCCAATATTACTGCTTCTCCTCAGTCTGTGATGACTTGCAGACTCGAACAACAACAATAAAACAGGCACGTTTTATATGATTCGTAGATAGCATTCAATAAGGTATAGCAGCACAAATAACCCTGCGTCCACTCTTTGAGTAGAAACCCCAAAATTATAACTCAATCCCCTCTTTTTTGCCCCTAGAAAAGCTGCTAAATGATTATTAGCGCTTGCCTGCATAACATCATAATGCTGCTGCTGCACACACACACACACGATGCCAAAACTGGCCAGGATCTCCGCCACAGCGGTAAAAAAAGAAAGTGTACAACACCCTGCAGTTGTGCACCTTAGCTTTGGGGGGTCTCGTGGAGGGCCTGTTATGACAGAACAGGGTACAATTGTGTGGCTCACCTTTTGTCATGCTGCATTCCACTACTACATATATATTTTCATGTGCCGCAGCTTTCCATGCCTTATTTCCCAAATCTCGTTTTTCATGCACGATGACGCTAAGCAAATTCTGGACTGTGGGGTCTTGCTGTATTTCGCAGTAATGAAGCTCTTGTATATACTACTACTATATCATCATCATCATCAACATCGTGTACATCACATTATAGGTTCTATCATATCTACCCTGCGTTTTCTTTCAAAATGTTCCATAACCAACCCCCCACCCAAATTGGTTCTGTGACGTAATTGTCTCCAACTATTACCACCACACTTTACCATTCTGTTGCAACATAGGGGGTTGAATAGTAAAAAGACTGACAAAAGTAGCGTATATGTAATATCGGTTATATTTTTAATCAACTGTATAGACATTAGTGACGGACCGGCGTGTAGATTCTCAGTCCAAGTTAGCGTCCACATATTAACAAAAGTGAGGTTGTTTTGAAAGATGCTTTTATTATTTATTGTAAGTTGGATGGTATTAAAGAAAAAGAAAATGTAATGTAGTAGATTGATCATATGTTCAGAAAAAGAAAAAGAAGGTGGTGGTGGTGGCTCTTCTTGGCATAAAGGGGGATGCTTGTAAACAAAAGGAAATCAAATAACTGGGAAAGAAAAGACAAGTACAATAGATGGTGTAGTAATAGTATATGCGCGTGCATGCATGCATTCGTGTATAGTGTGTGTGTGTGTGTTTGTGTCAATGTGGTATAAAGATGATGTGAGTGTGCGTAAATGTATATATGTATAATGTGTCTGTGTGCAAAAGTTTAAATGGGTTGTAGTTCGATGGTGGAAGATGATGATATGGAAGGGGTGGGGGGGGGAGAGGAGCAGGTAGCAGGAAAAGCAGAAAAAAGTATAGTAGAGATCTAAACGGCGCTGTATGTACGGTGATGGTAAGAGTTTGTGACAAGAGGATGGCAATGGATATGATGCACGTGGCTTCTTGTTCGTTCTAATGCATGTTGTCAGCCATGTCAGCGAGCAGCTGTTCTCGTTCCCGGCCGAGACTGTTCTATAAGGCCCAAAGATATCCGGGTTAGTAAGCGAATAAAAAAAAGGGGGAGGGGAAAGGTCTCTCTTTCTATAGGTATAACTTACGAGTTGAACTTGAGCGTCTTGAACCTTCAACGATGCCAGTACCATATCCTAGCAACAACAATGAATTTTCCAAATAAGTATATCGCAGTTCGTTTCCAAGGTGACGAAAGGTGAGGGGAGAGGTTGAAGCACTAACTCTATATCCTTTCTAAGCAGAAATGTAGAAAAAGGAGATGACAGTGAGGTATAGTTACTTACAGAAGGTAGGTTGCCATAGCTATCGACCATTCCGCTCTTTTCGGCCAAGATTGCCTCTAAAGAAGCCATGTCATGTTCCAATGTCTTGATAGACTCTAGCCTGAGCTCATGCTGATCAATTTCCAAGCTGTCGAACTCGTTCTGGAATGATCTGTAAGTTAGTATACCTTTTTCTTCTTCTTCTCATAAACCCAACCCCCTTGCATATATATATATATATACATTACCTGCATTCTTGCATACGCATTCTTTGATTCTTTGTTTTGCTGCTGCATTGCGAGTGCTTGGTCATTCTCATGACTGTTACTCTGACGACGTTGCTTCACACTGGAGAGAATGCTAAGTAGAAAGATCGACGATCCCCCACGTTTTTGAAAAGGGAGGTAGAAATGTGTCAGCAAAAGATTCAAAGGAGGTGGGGAGGGGGGGAGTTTCTTTTTGTTTACAACAAAAAAAAAGAAACTTTTTTTTGATTTGGATATACATCCGCGGCCATATCTAAAGTCTAAAAAGCTTAACTCACCCTTTCATCTTGTCTAATTCACCTTCCGCGTTTCGGATCCGACTCTGCAGAACATACTCAGTTTCTTCAATCTCCTTTTCTTCTAAGCGAGTATCCATCGTCTCCATCGTCAGCTGAGCGAGTGCTGTGTGATAGCTAAGTGGGGAGGGGGTTTTTTTAACGTTTTCATGCAAATTGCATTTAGTACATGACAGCACCCGTTATAAGATCCAAAAGGGGGGGAAGCAGGAGGAAGTGAGGAAATGTTACCTGCTCAACGAAGTATCATCCAGCCCTAGGCGGACTGCAAGAAGTCCCAATGCATCCAGAGCACGTGTTCCTTGCGTCGACATGGACGATCGGCTTACCTCGAGTGCATCGAGTTTCTCTTGCCACAGAGCGGCTTGAAGATACAAGAGGAAAAGGGTTATCCCCTTAGGGGTTAATATATATATATATTATATAGACTTCCCTTGACGTCATATGCAATCAATCGAATAGATACCTTGTCGTGCGTTGTCGTCACTTAATTGTCGCTGCGTGTTTAATACCATTTCCATGATATTGCTGGCTTCCTCGGTTTTTTTATGCAGTTGTTGCAGGTTGTGTAGCGTATATTCGTCTTTTTCAAACGACGGCATGCTGACTGGATATAGGTCGTGAAGCCATGCGTCGATCTGTGGGGAGGAGGGGGGTTTTTTTTATTAGCCATTTACTTAGCAAGAGCAACTGAATGGGTCCAGTATTTAAGCTCATGGGCTTGTCAAAGAGATAATGGAATTGTTACCTGATCCCATTCATTCTTATAGTCGCACGAGGGTACAAGAGAAGACTGACTTATCAGGTCTGAAGAAGCAAAGGTGTGTGCTGGAATGGCCATGCTTGAGTTGTTGGTCGAAGTAGTCGTAGTAGTAGTAAAGGTGTCTTTCATTGCGTTTTCTTTGAAAAGTGGAGTTGTTTAAATACTTTCGGAAACAAAGCCGTGCATAGGAAATCGGCGCGCGCGCTCACTCTAGGCGATTATAGAGGGCAAGAAGGAGGAGTTTTTTTTTATGTTCCCTTCTCAGCCTCCAATATAGAGCCGCCGCTGCTTTCACTCTGCTGCTTGCGACGTCATAGACTGCCATTTGATTCTCAGCTTGTTTATTGCCCAACTCGCGCGCTTTTACTTCTCAGTCCACAATAAAGAACCTCCCCCACTCTATTACACACACAGCATGGCTGGCGCATTGCGTAAATTTGCTATCGAACGTCCCGTCATTTTCTGGTCCTTTGTCATTGGCAGCATTGGTGAGTTATTTTTTATTTTAATTATAGCAACACACAAATCTATAGAATTGGTTCAATTGCTAATGTGTATTAATGGTTTTGACGTGGATTAGGACCTGTCATGGTCTGGACTGTGCCACCGATTCGTCGCAAGTACTTTGGCTTCCAGGGTTATCCTGAGCTCCCAGTGACCTATCCCAGTACGTAATATAGAAGCAGAGAAGGAGGGGGGCGGTGTACATATAAAAAAGGAAAAATAGGAGGAAGAGAGTGCAAGTGAAAAGTGTTCGAGCTCTGACTCATAGGATTTCTTACACACAGTCCCTAACCGCGCACGCAACCCACCTGCCGGCTACGAGGATTAAGGACGAACAAGAAAGAGAAAAGAACGTGTCCTATCTACTTGATAGATGAACCGACGTGACCGCCCAACACAAAATCAACCAAACCATAATCATTTCCCGAGCAACAGCAAAGAACTAAACTGCAAGGCAGGCAACTATCTCAAACGAAAGAAATAAAATAACAATGATCATCTTCCTGCGGTGTTTTTTTTTTACACTTTTTGATATGCAGTATAACATTAACCCAGAGTGGCGTGAGCCTTTTGGAAGGCTGGAGGGGATGAAAAAGTGACACCATGTGTGTGTTCCTCGGATCAAGCAACAAGATTATTTTTTGCAATGGAAGCACATCCAAATATGGGCAATGACTACAAAAATAAATGCATCCTCTCTCTTTACCCACAAGACAACGTGTGTCACGCAAGAATGAATCGGTGTAAACCTGTTAAACTGGCGAGCTGGTTACCAAGGTTATATACTCATTTTGGACCCGTTCATATTCTTGAAGCGTGTCTGGTGTTGAATCAATTCGACAATGTCAGCAATAAAATAAAATTTGGCAGCAGCTAATACATAGTCAGCTCTCTATAATTGCTGCTAGTAGAAAGTCGCTTTCAAAAGAGGGGACTAGACACCCCAAGGAGGAGAACCTTGGCGAGTAATAAAGAGTTGTTTATACGCTGAACAAGTTGGTTATAAAAAAGGAAATGCACCCTCACGTTGCTACTATCTAGTAGGTGGTAGCAATGGCAGTTGCAAGAAGTGGCTATCATGGAGATAAAAAGGTGATGGAATTCACATGGGACACAAGGAAAGTGAGAGAGAGAGAGAGAGAGCGATCTACTCTCCGGTTAGTTTATTAGCAGCATAATGAATAATGAATGATGAGATTACATCTTATAAAATGAAATTAATAAGAGACATAGCACCAGCGTGTCTATGGGGGGGGAGTGGTAAGTTTTGCCTCGACCACAGGTCGGCGGAATTGGCTCGATACGGAAAGAGAAACTGCTGCTGCCTTTCGGTAGTTGTCATGGCGAAATGAAAAACAATGGGTTGCCGTGGTTGCTGGTTGGTAGGTTGGTAGGTGGGGGGTGGGGGAAGGTGGAGAGAGTGGGCTTGCCAATTGATCGAGAATTTCCTCCCCCTCCCCTCCCACCCCCCATGATCATTGGGAAGACCCAATGGACCAGACCCTACTTTGTGCGACACCAAAAATCGGACGACATCGTCTCTCCCAATGAAGGCTCATATCGGGGAAATGAAAAAAGCACCTATTAATCTCTGCTCTCCCCCCACCTCTCCCCCCCCCGAAATTCCCTGCCAATTAAGCCACTGGAGTTGACATGTTGGCTCGAGCGAGACACGCTTCCTAAGAGCGCACGCAGAAGAAGGTCCTCCACCTTTTTTTTTCTCACATCGCTCCACTTTGGCCTTTGCCCTTGCCTTGTCTGTCTGTCTGTCTCTGTTCTGTCGCTAGTTCATTTGGGTATATAAAAAGCCCAATTGTTCCCGTCCCTTTTCCCTTCCTCTCTCTCTCTCGCTCTCTCTCTCTCCACTTTGATCCTTTTACTGCTGCCTTCTGCCCTTTCCTTCTTTCTTCTTCTTCTCTCACGTTCATATACTCAACTCGCACCTACTGCATCCCAAAACTACAACTAGCATTCACATCAACAAACAACAAACATCAACAACAACAAAATGTCTGCATTCTCAGTGTCTAGTCTGCTCAACAATGAACGATCGCGCTGCAATCGCCCTGCCGTGCTTGATATCTCCAATCTCCTGTGCGAACAAGACGTGTGCCCCTCTCTCTCATCACCCGAGAGCGCACCCTCGAGCGGATCATCCTCACCATTGACCAGCTACCCATTGCCACCTATTTGGGCGCTGAAATCAGACGAACGCATGGTCATGAGCTGGACAAACGACTCTTCGTCCTCACTGTCGAGCATTGGCAGCAGTGCACACGACTCCATCATCTCCTCTACCTCTACCTCTACATCCTTTAGCTCCATCTCTTCTTCTTCATCATCATCATCAACTCCTCCTTCCACACCAGCAAATAGCAGCAGCAGCAGCATGAGCATGAGCAATAGCCATCCAAGAAAACTGCCATTAAAGAAGCAACATCGCCACTATCATCCCCACGATACCAGCAGCGTCATTAGCAGCAATCACAGCGTCAGCAGCAGCTGTAGCGATGACGAGCAGGCCTCCACCACATCCTCTACCTCCTCCTCATCACCACCTGCACTCAAAGCCAAACGACGACGAGCCAATGCCAAGCAGCTGGAGGTGCTGAACCGCGTCTTTGATCGAACGGTGTTTCCGTCCACACAACTCCGTGCTGAGCTGGGTCGACAACTGGGTATGAGTCCTCGGACCGTCCAGATTTGGTTCCAGAACCGACGTCAGGCCATTCGAACACGCGAGCGACAACGGCTGTTGCGTATCGTCCGAGATGAATCTTCATCTACGGACTAGATTATTAATCATTTATGTCTCACTTTTTTTTTTTATTTTCCTTTGTTCTGTTATACTATCTCCTCCTCCTCCTCTCCCATCGCTCCATTCTCTCCTCCTCCTCACCCTTCACACCCTCCCCCCCACCTTCACCCACTATCTCCGATTTTTCGACACTTTGTATCACCCAAGTCCTTCCTTGATATGCTTTTCATATATCCGCGCTCTGTACTAGCCCTTTCGTTTTCTATTATTCTTTCCACTGGTTTGGAAATATTCATAATTCTCGTTTTCGTTTTTTTTTTCGGTAGGAGAACTACAACTACAACAACAACAACTACATATGCATTCATCTCTCCCCTCCCCCTCGCGTCAGTCAGCAATTTGTAATTTTTTCTTTCTTTTTCTTTAGCAGTATATTCTTTTATTACAAGCCCAACTGGATTCATGTTGTCAATAGCCAAAAAAAAAATAACAATCATATATCATTCACCCATTTCGCCCCCACTTGTTTGTAATACTACTATTAATACTAATAATAATAAAAAGACGTATTCCTCCAAAGAACATACACATGTCCCCGAAAGTATAAAGGAAAACAAACTTTTTTTTTTTTGCGGTCCCGATAAGCTGCAGCTACTACAATGGACCCGGAAATGTGGGTTACCATGGAAGAACATTTTGGTTTACCCAGAAAGGATGTTTTGCCACGCGCTCGCTATGCAACACAACACACTTTCTCTTCGCACTCTAATTACTTGGCAATTGATTACAATAATTGAGATTTGTTGCTGCTGCCTACTGTTGCTAAGCTGCAAAGTTGCTAAGCTGCTGTTGTTTTATGATGGGGGCCGGATGAGGATGTCGCACGGACACACCTAAACAAAACAGAACAGCGCAACCTTGAATATCAATCGAACCCCCCTACCAACCATCTTGTTTCTTTCCACGTAGAGTCACCTCCATCTGTGTTGATCATCGGTAATATTTCGCACTCTTGGTTTTCTTCGAGAAGCATACACATTTCACAAAGAAAACCCCCCCATGTTACACAGAACAACCCCACCCTTATATGGTTTGGTGGGAAATGAAGCGGCTAGTAGATATATAGTGTAGTTTACATAATTATGATACCAAGCATTTTTGTTATGAAAAAAAAAAGCTTATTAGTACTAATTTAGCGTTTGCATCCTGTGCATTGATTTCTCTACTCTTGCAATTCTTTGTCATTGAAATGTACGTAAACGACCTAAAAGAATAAGAAGAAAGAAAGTAGAAATTCTTGAATACATAATTAAAAATACAATCTTTTCAAAAAGCTGGGTTGTTGACTCTCTCTCTCTTTCTTTCTCCATGTGGCATCCAAAAATTGGGCCAAGCACAAGTTGTCATTGCTTAGTTTTGAGCCCAGAAGTGGCGCCACGTATTTTCGACGAATCATTTTTCTCCAGATTTTGAAAGCTGCTAAGCATTGCATGCGCAGAAACTTTCCTTCCACGGTAGTACTGATCTACATCGAATACAACACACACACATATCCCCGTTTCTCGCTCTATCCATGGCATAGTACTCTAAACCAAGTTGGTTCTTAAAGAGCATGAATGCATTCTACAGTTGTTGTTCGTGTATCTCAGCGATTGGGAAGAGAATGACACTCGTTCAGCAGAGCAGAAAAGGGAAAGAGAGTGATCCAAATCGTTCCCATGTCAATTGCTGTTAGGCAACGCCCTCTCCCTCCTACACAGATATCATGACGCCGGCCTTTCTTTTTCTTTTGGCACCTGCACGGGGATGATGACAACTTATGTTCTTTCACGTCAATCTGGCTCGGGTGCTGAGTACGGTTTTTCCTCAACGTATGATACGTTTATTCTTCCCGGTTGGGCTTTTTTAGAAGCAGCGATTCTTTTTTGCAACCCTCCAATTGCCCCATGTTGCTCCAATTTCGGCATTTTAATAAATCCAGCAACAACAACGGCAACAACCTCCACCCTCCCCCCCCCAATTAATTAAAACATCTATAAAGAGTCGAAAACCATTTAGACATGCTTACATGAAGGGATCAGGGTTTTACTTTCATTAATAATCATAAAGTGACTTCTTTAACTATATCTATTAGATCTCAAGGCTTCGACAATAGTAATACTAAGAGTGCTGTATAATGATGATCCATGATGACCTAAAGGTCAACAAGAGGAGTTTATTGGCGCAGTCCCCGGTCCATAAAGAGCGCTGAAGAATGTCGATAACAACGTGCATGTAGAGATACATAACCACGCGTACAGACGACGTTATCATGGCATAATGAATGTGTCCGACGCATTTTATCCATAGGCGACTCCTCTACTAAAGGCAACATCTAAGATTGGGTTTTTTTTCCTTCCAATCAATATAGAGCGATCACACTCACAAAATATGAAATAGCAACATATTCGCAATTGCTATGTATACACAAAGTAAGAGTAATCAGCATTCTCTTTGTTTTTAAATCACCAAGGTAACACTAAATATGCACGACGGCGCAGTGCCCGATGAACAAGAACCGCGGAACATGAGCGCTCTTCACCCTAAATTTTACGGGTTAGGCTGCTATGTAGCTCATCGTTTTTAATTATCAAGTGCATTTTTTCCGTCACAGGATTTACCAAGGCCTGCTACGGGAGAGGATGGATCGAGCATATGACATAGTGGAAAGAGGAGGAGGGGTAGCAGTAAGAAGGGTGACGAGGTAGGAGAGAAATAGAGGAGTTGATGCATATGCATGATGATGGAATAAGGTGTGGCGGGAAGAAAAAGGTGCGGACAATGGGCCCGATAAATAACAAAATAAGAAGAGAGCCGATAACGCATTGATTGTTGATTCAAGTTCGTCATGGCCCCACTAGTAGTTGGCTATGTCATCGAAGCGTGAAGGGAAGAAACATAAATACGCAGGGCCACACACATAAAATATATAGGTACCACTAATGTATCCATGGAAAATGGGTCGCTTATATACATAATAACTTAGCAATTGATACATTCCATGTCCTCCACAAGTGTATTCCAACACTGTACACAAGCAAAGAATCAATTGTAGTTGATGTAGTAGTATCTCATCACATTATCAAAAAAAAGTTGCACACTCAAACTCTTGGTATAATACTTTGCCAGAAGATTAAAGTTCTTGTGTAGGTAGAGGTGTCTGAGATGATACTATGATACAAATCGACCCAAAAAGTGTTACAGCGCAAGAAAATGTTTTAAGAACGGGCTGCTCCAGCTACTGTACAGTACGTAACAAAAGTTTTTGCTCTCATGCCGCTCCAGCTTTGCATGTCACAATAATAAGAATCACTTTCTTTTAAAATAGCATATGTGTGTGATTTTCCATGCATCGTGTGTAGTTTGTCGATGCAAGTCATTTATTGTAGTTGCAATGCCCGCTTGTACACAATTTCCATGAGTTACAGAGAGACACCTGTTTGGGTGACATGTAGTAGGCTTTTTCCCCAACCCCACCCCCCATCCTCCTCCTTGTGACAGGTGCTACAACAACCATAGATTACAATTGAAGCATTTCTGTGTTCAATCCCACAGAAAAGAACATCTTTTATTGCTTTTAGAAACAAATTATAATAATAATAATGATAATAATAATACTTGCACTGTTGTAAAGAAGCATTTCAAGACAAAATGATCTACTTTACCACGTTTTATGTGGGATCTACATTGGGTTATCAAACTCCCCGTTTGTCTAGTTCAATCCAACGGCGACAAGACCACGACGACGACAATGTTGGAGTTTCAATTCGTTCGCTCATGTGTTTATAATGCATCAAAAGTCCCATAATCTATGTCCAAAAAAAAGCATATAGCGCATGTTGCTACTCTTGTTGATATATGAGAAGAGCAATTGAGAACGTGAGTCCCATGGAAAGATCCTCCCCCTGTCGTTTTGCTGTTGGTGTTGTTGTTGTGTACAATGGTATGTGAATATTGGGAGTCAAACTGCTTACGCGTTCATATACACAGTACGTTGGCTTACTATGAGTGAGTCCTAACCCGAACCCGAGGAAAAAATAGAATGCGTTCTGTGACACATTAATGGCATACTTTGTGATCGTGTACACTATGTAAGTTAGCAGGCAGAGTTTGATGCCGTCTCTTTTTTTTTTTTTTTATCAAGCGCTGCTAAGCAAAGCCAAAAAAAAAAAAAGTCAGTTATTGGTGCGTCAAGACTAATGGTGACGGAGCAGTAAGCATGTGCTAGTACAAGAAAGCTTAATTTGCTGTTGTCGTAGCACGTAATGCTACGGAGCAGTACAAAAGATAGTCTCGATCTCGGGCACTTGAACGGGTTATCAGAGCTATCATCTACCTTGTACCGAGATGTGTTGCGTGAAGAAGGTACAGTCCTCTAATATAAAGCTTGCAGGAAAGGGGAGGGGGAAACGGGCGGGTCAAGCATGTGGTGTCGAAACGAAAAGAGGTGTCGACAGCCGACTAGTGATATGCGCAACGAAAAGTAATCGCGATTTGGCTTTAATTATCCTGCATTCATGATACAAATTATTCCCCAAAGAGCGCATCAAGAAGAGTTGGTCGTGCATTGTGGCACAAAAGGTAGGACAGCAACAAACCCTCGTAGCAACGGAGATGACAGTGCTTCCCGGGAATTTTGCCGGACAACGTTTCTCCCTCGGCTATATCCTGAAAAGGCTTTTTTGCCACGCGCGGTCTTTAATTGCGATTCAGACAGTGTGTGTCGCAGAACAGATCACGGCAGGTGGGCCGATATGCACACACACACACACACACACGTTCAACAGGCACAAAACCCTAAAAAGAAGCTACGGTAATTTTTTTTTAATAATATAAGCAATTTGATAATATAATTTTTATTTTTTTGGGCACTGGATAAACTACGGAATATATAGGTACTAAACTAAAGATTCTTTTTTTTTTTTACGCCGCGAGATTTTTTAGGGGGAGAGGGGGATAACTTGATAAGATACGGAAGAGAGGGTGAGAGAGGGTGAGAGATAAACGCCATTTACACGAAACAAAATAAATATATACACGGTAAAATATATATCGCTGAAGAAGGAAGACGAAGAAGGGCAAGGGGTGGGCGGTTTCAAGAGAGAGAGAGAGACAGGCATTCTAGAAGGAGCCGACTATGAAGAGCAGGAAGGACAAAGGAAGCAAAGGTTACAAATTTTCACTTTTACGTTTTTTTGTTTTTTTTGTTTGTTGTTTGGATTTTTGCCAAAGAAGAGGTTGCTAGCGTCTTTTGGGTGCGTTGGGCTTTGGCTTGTGATAGACATGGCACTAGAAAAGACAAGAACGATTCCCAGATTCAGTACAAGCAGCAAACCCCTTTTAACCAAGCAGCAAGAAGCTGTGTTTGTGTTTACCTTATGCGCATGTCTGTACCAGAGCACGCTGTTTTTTCTTTTTACATTGCTGACCGAGACCCACTGACGACATTGGTGGCACAGCCCTTCAACCAGGTCCTGGTCGACCCAACGCGTCTCCAACGGCTGCATGAATTCTTTACCCGATACTGACGAGATACCATGGAAGAACTGCTTGTGATACCTGTTATATCCGCAAAACACAACATACATACACACACAATGAGCCCTTTCGCCCTTTCTCTCTTTTTCTTTCCAACTCCTGTTTTTTGGGAGGGGGGGGGTACTTGCCAGAAAGCACTGTTTTTCAGTTGAAGCCACTTGCCAGGCTGACACGTATCGCACAATCCTTCCTTGGCTTGGCCATTGTATCGAACCCACTGAGGCGTGTACTTGTCACCGACATAGCGCAGCTTTTGTCGTCGAGGGCGAGCCTCGGGATCCACACGCGCTGCTTCGATATCCTTGAGCGACATGTCGGGAAAGTCGGGGTCGCCAGGCTCAACAGCTGTCGACATGTCGTCCTCGTCCACTTCCATCCGGTTCTTCTTTCGTCTGTTAGGTGAGCGCACAGCACCCGTCGGCATCGGTGGGAACTGGCCAGGCAATGGCGCGTGCATCATGCCGTCGATAGGGATCGGTAATGGGAGTTTACCCACATGCTGATAATAGTAATGTGCATGAGGATGGCCTGGCGGAGGACCTACTACTGCTGCTGCTGCTGTTCCTGGTGGCGGTCCTGATGATGTTGCATGTGGATGAGGTGGTGGTACTGCTGCTGGATGGTGCATGTAAGGATGCGGATGATACGGATAGTAATGTGGATGTTGCGGTGGTGGCGGTGGATGTGGCATCGTCGACGACGACGACGACGATGAACTTGTTGTTGTTGTTGTCTGGTCACCAAAGTCGTGTTGTTGTTTCTGATCAGACGATGCTGACAACGGGTGGATCATGTTGGCTGAGTCATGAACAGGGTACGCGCCGACAGCAGCAGCAGCAGCAGACGATGGCGGCGGGTGCAACATGGCAGGCGACATGTCTTGCACGAACGTCAACTTTGCGGTTGGATGGAGATGTGGATGATGGTGGAGATGAGGGTGGAAAGGATGATGATGATGAGGAGGAGGATGGTGTTGCTGTTGATGAGGATGGAGATGATACGGTAGTTGCTGAGGATGGACCATAGACGACGCCGAGGACGACGATGAAGATGAGCCTGACAGATCTTGCAGGAACGTGGATCTGTCGGAAGGTAAGGATGCCCACGTCATGCTTGCATCGTACGAATGCCTCCGCGGACGGTTGTTTCTGTTTCTGTTTCTGTTGTTGTTGTTGTTGTTGTGCGAGAGCGAGTTGTCCGACGCAACCGAGAAACTGTCCTCCTGCCACGAAGCTGGCTTGTGTTCTTCTTCCCAGTTGTTTTTGTTGACGAGAGATGGGTGAAAGGAAGAAAGTGTGTGTGTGTGTGTGTGTGTGTGGATGGTCATGGAAATTAGCTTTTTTATGCGCATAAATTTTCTCAATATTATAGGGTTCCCTCCCCTCCCCACCCCCCCCCCAAAAAAAAATAATAGAATAGAAACAAACGAACTAACCAGAGCTGTTATCGTCGGCTGCTGACGGGTCCTTGTCATCATCGTCCGTAGAAGCAGTAGCATCAGTAGGATCAGCAGCGGGGGTAGAAGGCAACCGATTAAAATTGGCCAGCAGCATGGCTGCCTCAATAGAGTTGCGTTGCTGTGATAAATGCAAGCTCAGTTGTGCTTGAGCCTCGTCGTTCAGTCCTAACGGCAACCCCAGGACGGCCGGACTGCTCTTTCGTTTGTCAAAGACAAAGGCAGGAATGGCAGACAATTCAGCGTCCTGATGGTGATGTTTCAGGGGCGGCCAAGATGATGCATAAGGCGGCGACGGCGAGGATGACCGTCCTTCGCTGGTCACCGAGCCGTTGCAATCTGGTTCATTGACAGACGCTCCACGAGAGGGCACAGTGGCCATGGGCGGCAATGAAGGCGGCTTGCTGTTGTTGGCTTGTGTCAGGTTGACTTGCGCATAATGGAGCACCTTGGCATCCTCAGGACGGTGTGTTGCTGCTGTTGTTGCTGCTGTTGGCGGCGGAGGCAAGTATCCTTGAACATCCATGTTGAGGCAATGTATAAATTTTTTTTATTTTTTTTGGGGTAGTCAATGAGAGCAAGAGCGGGGAGGGTGTGTTAATAGTAGCAGTGGTACTAGCAACAGCAGTAGTAGCGTATGCGACGGAGGTTGGGAGAGGGGTGGGGGAGGAAAAGGGAAAGCAGCAAAGGCAAGAAGGACGGTGGAAGCACGACACAGCCAGGAACCAAAATTTGCTTGTTTGCAAGAAAAAAAAAAAAAACTTTTTTTTTCTTTTGTGCCTTAATGCACACAGTCCGAATTTCGTCTTTTTTTTTTACACGATCGAAAATGACAACTACACATGCTGCAAAGCGTATACAGGATGCTCACAACGACGATGATAGCAAAGGAAAGAAGAGGAAAGGGTGCTTGCTGGATTCTTCTCTCTTTGCACCCTTCGCTTGCTCGTCTCTCTCTGTCTCTCTGTCTTTCGTTTTGTTTTAATCTATCGCTGAGTCATGCAATTCTTGTGTTGTTTATGCATTGTTTTTCCCTGTCTTCTTCCGCAGAGTGACCACTCTTGTTAGCTTTTCTACTAGAGCCTTTCCAGAGCAGCCCCTCTTTTGGCACTACATCTGCTCTGCTGACCAGCCCTTGGCATGATTTCCACCCTCCTTAGACCCCACTCTCCTTCAATGGCCAAGATCAAGTCGACATGTAAAAAAAAAATTATGATTGGATCTACACTTGCGAACCCGGAGCCACTGTGATTCATGCTCCGCCTATGCATCCATTAAACGATGTGTACGTCACTTTTTCTTCCTTTCTCTAGCAGGACCACCACCCACTGCAACGCATTGCTCCGGATCAGAGATACTGGCGTCCCATGAAGCATGTCTTTGAAAGTGCAGAGTGCTTGCTTACGTGTGTCGTGGTTGCGGAAAGACAGTCCAGAGTCATTGCTTTGATGGTTACACACTGTCGTACATGCAAGCAATGCTTAAAACACGAAAAACAAAATAGAAAAAAGAGAGAGAGAGAGAGAGAGTGACGTTGGCCCTATCGTTTTTCTGTCGGAAACATTTTATGTTCCCCTTTCTTTATTGTGTTCCTTATCCCCCCCCCACCCCTTTTTTTCCAATTTCAACAAAGAAATGACCAACAATAACCGTCCATCGCCACGACGATCCAGAAGCACCGTTGCCCCGTTCACTGTGAAGCGAAAGCAGGTCAATTATGAGGCACTCGACATGAACAGGTGAGAAAAGGAGAGCGCTGCGACGACAGATTGAGGGCGTACAAACACTTGTAAATATTTACCGACTTTTATGCAAAGTTCACAGTGCTCCTTAGCCAGCTTGCTGTGCAAGAATAACGACAGCAACAACAACAACAACAACGACAGCAGCAGCAGCAACAACAACAACAGCAGTCGTGTGAGTCATTGATACTGGGCCTTGAGTCCACTCTTTCTTTTGAGTCCATAGTGTTAATGACTGCTTCCATTTTCTTCAAGTAAAGCCACCAGAGGACTTTACGCGCACCTTGATAGAAAACAAAGCAGCAGCAGAGCGGAATGCAAGAGTACAGCAGCTGGAGGCAAGTTATAACTTTCTCTCAATGCACCACAGTGATAGTCGGCTCATGATCCTACGTGCGTCGTCATAGAAAGAACTGAAGCAAGCGACGCATGATCAACAGACGTGGCGCCACAAGTGTCGTTTGCTGGAGAGTGAGCGCGAAAAGTTCCAGGCAACAGTGACAGGTACAATACACCCCACTCGTCTACCGTTCACTTAAAGTGTTGCTAAGATTTGCCCCTCCCCCCCCCCCTGCCACCAGATCAATGCGAAAAGGATAAAGAGCTGTTGCAAATGGAGATCAAGATACTCAAAGAAGCACATCTGAACAAAGTTCAGGAAATGGCAAGTGCCATGGCGCAACTGCAACGAACAGTTGCTTTGTTAAGGGAACAGCTTTCCAAGCATGGTCTTGCAGAAGGTCGGTGTCTTCCCATAGGCTGTGCAGGGTAGTACAAATCAAAATCATGCTTATGCACGCCACCGGCTTCTTTTTTTTGTCTTTCGGGCTATATTAGAGAGCAACACAAAAAGTGACGAAGCAATCGATGCCATGATGATCCATTCGAACTATAAAGAAGAGGCCGAATACATCAAAGTACTGTACACTTTAACTCTATTAATTTAATATGTAAAATGCTCATCTTACGTTTGTCCATGCAGAATGCATATAATTTGGCCAAACGGAAAAGTACCCAGGATTCAGCAAGCCACCAGCTATGGATAGATGTTCAGGTAAAAAAAAAATAAATAAATCTCAACTTGGAAAATTGAAATAAACTGACTTTAATGTGTGAATGTAGTCAACAGCTCAAGCGTTGCAACATCAAGTGGAACTATTTCAAGCCTGGAAAGCGGTGGCAAATGTCCCTATTGAGGATTTAGCGCGTCTTATGCGTGACGACGACAAGTCATCCACGGCCGGTAGCTCGCTCCGGAAAGCTTTGTTTGGAAGGAAAGGATCCAATAAACGAAAGACTTGACACACATCTCTTTTTTAATTTATCTCGACTCAACTTTTCCTCCCCATTCGGTGGGTGAGTCCAGAATATTTCCAGTATCCGTAGATCGTCTCCTCCTCTTCAAGCTCACCCCCTCCCCCTAATAAACCCCCTCACGTTCCACTATCCGTCAAATTTTAATTAATAAAAAAAATTACAGGTCGACACTTGACTGGGCAAGCATTGATGCTGGTTTGTTATCAAGTGATACAGTATTGCTAATGCATTAACTAGTGTGCGTGCCTTTCCCCCATATGACGCCCGTTGCACAAAGCAAGGGGCTTTTTCTTTCCACATGGAAGAGACACAAAGGACTTTGTACTTTAGTGCCATGTGGTAAGTTACTATGCATGGCCAGATGATGAGAGAGTAAATGTAACCAGTCAAGGGTGCACATCATGAGAAGAAGAAGGTGAAATTGCAATAATAATCACACTTTAAAGAGATTACTCAAATATGGCAATTTCCAATTACATAATACATGACAACACCTTAGTCTGTGGAAGGTTAATAAGAATTATGCATCGGGTGTCAATCAGTTTAGTCCAAATAATTAGCCCATCGCTATCATCATTCCTTCTATAGCGATGTTACGTCTCTAGACTTATTTGATTTGCTACTAAGATGGAATGGTTGTAAAATGATTACGAGCACCCTATAAAGTAGGATGTAATATATCTCAATCATTTAGTAACAATATAGGATCTTGCAGTATACTCAATGTACATCCCCCAGCAACAAACTTCTCTTTAATATACGTATTTGTGGGACAAGGACAGGGGATGCATCACATGCAACACGGAGCGGTTCTTATATCCGAGTAGCCATAGATATCCTACCATTCAACTAAAAGATCCTAGTACAATAAGAGCTTTGGTCTGATCTGTAGTTTTGTTTGCCTTATACATTCTCGGACAAAGTGGAGCAATGTTCTTTTGCAAAGTCTTTAGAAACTCTTTTGCTCTAAAGGTTGGAGGGTCAAGTAGTGGTTTTGGGTGATGGAACTTTTTAGCTGGAGGGTTCGCCACACATCCACATAGCCATTTGGACTGGTAAGTCTGCTGTAGAAGAACTATAGCACAGCTAAATAATGTTACTGCTCAATTACCAGCTGTTGGTTCAAATATGCGAGGATTGGTTCAAAAGAATCAACTCCATCGTTGTATATCGTGTTGCAATCAATCAGGTAAGTGTCGGTTTGAGTATTCTTCTGAGCCCAAGTACAACCGCAAAAGGATTTAGATGGCAAGAGATATACTGTATGTGTATTATTGAGAATAGCAAAGTTCGTTTGTAAACCCATACAGCAAATATTTCGCGAGGAGATGTGGATGTGCAGTTAAATCAAGGGTATCACACACGTTCGTATTTATGCAAGTATTTGACATAGTTTGATACGGGCAGCATGCACGAGGCGGATGGTTAAACCAACAGCAAGCAGTTTAGACATGGCATGGAATTATATGGAATGGCACAAACAAGTAGCGTCAACTGATGAGATTTTCACTGGCACTCATCTGCCGGCTCACCAAAGACGAGTAATCAAAAGGAAGAAGTTCATGGACGGAAGATTTCCGTTATCTTGACTTTTGTTTTTTATTTACATTTTAATAAAGAGTACATTTTGCGACCAGCGGCAGACGATTTTGAGACCTTGTCGTTCCCCTTGGCTCTGTCGAGCGGAAAAAAGACAAAGCAACAAAAAGACCTCTTACTAGAACTTGATAGTTGTCTAGAGAGTATGGAGTTGGAAAGAAAGAAAGGATGGATGAGAAGAACAAATTTACCGTGTGATGCGTCCCAAATTTGCGGTATTGTGGTCGTATAACTATTACCGCAATCAAAACGGCGGTATATTGAAAAATCAGGATTCGGATGCGTTGTTAATTGTATAAGCCCACCATAACAAATGTCACTTCCTTATAAGAGCGACCTTACCCAATATTAGCAGATATGGAAGCAGCAACGCTGGTGATCAAGAACAGGTTCAATAAGAGCGAGCAGCAGCAAGAGAGCAACAACAGCAACACCCGCATATCACACGGTAGTAGAGCTCGCACAACATAGTGCCGAGCCTTTCGATGTGGGTGTCTGGCTAACATAAGTTTTTTGGCGGCTCGTCATAATTTTATTTTTAACAAGGTGTCTGTAAATATAAACTGTCTTTTTCAATGGTCAAAGTAAGAGTATTGCCGCTGTTTGTTGTAAAGGAGAGATTATCAACAGAGGTAAGCAACCCTCCAGCAGCACTGTATTCTGACACCAGCTGAACTACCATCCAAAGGTAATCGTGCGTAGTTGTGTACAGTGGTCACCTGTTCATTCCAAAAATAAGATCACCAAGTTTTGTGCGAAATTGAAGAGGTGTGAAAATTAACGGATCCTGCATACGTATACCGTTAAGTCCTATTAACTATGTAATTCGAAGAGCGATAGCAGAAAAATGTGTGATATCAACAAGGATTTTAGAACTAAACCCTGCTCCCTTTGTATTTTTCTGTAGCTGTCTGATATAAACCTTCATGAATCATGCTTGTGATTTAGTGATGGCCTTATAATATCCATATAGATAGTGTGGACTTGTCGAATAATGTGCCGAAAGATCAACGAATAGTAGTAATACTAGCAGTTTTCTTTGCGTGTATGTAGATTACCACACTGTAACAGCTTAACACGGTGATCGGTATGTTCGTGCTGTTGTGTTACTCAAAACTACTTTTTTTTTAAGATTAGCTTTCAGTATCCAAGGACCGATTCGTTCGATTTTCAGGTTCAACGTTTATTATATCATAAATAACATTGTAGAAATGAGCACATTATAGTATAATATCACATTTAATCAATGCTGCAATGAAAGCTATCATTGCTGATTACAACATTGTGACTTGGCACTGCTGTTTCATGGTCTTTCACAGAAAAGCAAAGCAACTACTGGAGATCTCCGGCACATCGGGGACCACCTAACGCATTACCCATATCGGATGTCAAAGTTAGAGTTACACACATTCTGCACGACAAGACAGTAGATAGCTATAAGGAAGATATGTCCCCGAATAAAAAGGTTTCGTGCGTTAATTCGGGTATCTTGTTCCTCCTCTTTTTTCTTAAACTTTTTCTTGTCTCTTCCAAAAAACCATGAACGCAACTGTTGACAAGGTCATTACCGAGACCATTAACGGTCTTGATGCCGAGCTTCGCCAAATTAGTATCAAGGTTTGTTTTCTTGATCCTGTTCCTGACTTCTTTTCAAAGTCTCCCAAAATGCTCATTTCGGGGTGAAAATAATGAAAAGCAACTCTTTTTGCCATGAACACTGTACACATGTAGATTCACGACAACCCTGAACTTGGTGAACACGAGTTCAATGCTTCTCACTTGTTGTGCAACTATCTTGAAGGAAAGGGTTTCCGTGTGACGCGTGGAGCAGCTGGTATGCCCACGGCCTTTATTGCAGAATATGCAAACAGCACAAAGGGTCGCAGAATGGGTTACTGCTCCGAGTTTGATGCATTGCCAGGGTAAATAACGTAGTAATTTGAGCGTGTTGCTATGGTATAAATAGGCTTTCGAGCTAATGATTGTCCTTTCTTTCTTTTAGCGTTGGACATGCATGTGGTCATAATCTTATTGCTATTAGCGGATTGGCTTGTGCAATTGCCACTAAAGCGCTCTTGGAGCATGGCTTGATCGAAGGATCTGTTGTTTTGTACGGTAAATATCGAATAACCAAAGATGTACAAAAAAGTCTTTTGCTTTGGTTGTTTCCTTTCATTCCATTTACGTTGACATATCGTTTCTATTATTGAAGGCACCCCTGCCGAGGAGTCGACCTCTGGTAAGATTACCTTTGTCCAAAAGGGTGAAGTACAAAGCCGCGTGGATGTTGCCATGATGCTGTGAGTATATATCGGACTTGACGGTATCTATATACATCCTTACTATTACACCGTCCCGAAGCTTTTCTCTAACATATCCGTTCGTTCTTTTCTATCCTTCTCAAGGCACCCTGGTCCTGCTAATGGTGTTTTTGTCAAGATGCTTGCTTTGGATGCTCTTAAAGTGGAATTCTTTGGAAAGGCTTCCCATGCTGGCATGAAGCCTTGGGATGGTATCAATGCTTTGGACGCATTTATGCAAGGCTGGAACAACGTTTCCATGTTGAGACAGCAAACTTTGACAACCAACAGGTGGGTTACAGATATCCTTTTTGGATATATTACCCCCTCGAATAACGCGTAGCTTGTCACAGTATAGCTCAACATTGTTTCTTTATGACTTTTGAAGAGTCCATGGTATTATCACAGACGGTGGCAAATCGGTAAGTCGATCATTTTCAAAACCTGTTGTTATTAAGATAGTCAGTGATCTTTAAAATTAAGTATATACGTGTATTTCTTCATTTACAATAGGCCAATGTAATCCCAGGTTGGTATACTGGGTTCTCATTGTTCTCGTTGCAGTTTTTTAATTAACGTAGCCGAGCTAACCTAACTCACATTAAAAAAAAAAGATTATGCTGCTGGTCGCTTTTACTGCCGAGCAGTTACGCGTGCCCAATTAAGGGAGTTTAAAGAAAAGGTTGAAAACTGCTTCAAGGCCGCTGCTGGTGCTACTCAATGTCAATTGAAGTTGACTTGGGCTCCATACGGTGCCATTGATGGTAAAATATCTGTTAACAGTGTAGCTATTGGTGATATTCTTAGCTGATTAATGTGTTTCATGCAATAGATGTGTTCCAGAACTCAGAATTGGGATACTCGTATATTGATTATATGAAGCAAGAAGGCGCCCAGTTCTTCCCTCGATCGGTAGAAGAAACTGTAGTTAGCGGTAGCACAGGTAAGCTCTTTTCTGTCCCTTGTTGTATTCATCGCCTTTTTTGTTTTTCTAATCTCGCTTTGGTCAGATATGGGTAACTTCAGCTACGTAGTTCCGACACTCCACCCTGGGTAAATAATATTCATATATCACAATTTATTCTTTACTGTCAAGCAGGAAAGAAAGCAGTAAATCTAAACTGTTTTGTTTTATAGATTTGAGATTGGAACCACAGCTGCCAATCATACAGTGGAGTTTACTAAGGCTGCAAGAACACCAGAAGCACATCAGTATACCCTTCGTGCTGCTCGATCCTTGTCAAGAACAGCTGCTTCGGTTTTCCTTGATGATTCATTCTACGAGCGTGTGCGTGCCGAATTTTTGCAAGGCAAGCCCCAATAAGATAGCCTCACTTGGTTACTCTACTGGGAGAAGCTCCTGTATTCTATCTTTTGTATAATATAAACAAAATATGTATCCAATATGCGTTTACTTGGGAACATGATCACTAAACTATTGCTGGTTATAATCCTAGCTAGCTAGCTAGTTAGCGGAGGTGTTTGGTAAAAGCCAAACTGATAATTTATGTCTGAGAGCAAAAGCCACTGTTACTTCAACCCCTTTACCACATAAAGTTGTCAACATGCTACGATCAGCACTTCTTTTACACCAGCGTCGTCTTACACATACTGCAGCTACCACGCCCAACGAAACGATATACAAGGGCCCTCTCGCCAATGTCGCCAAAAAATTAAAATTATTCTCTGTCACATCCCTTGGCCTCGGCACGGGCATTTCGCCATTTGTCTTTGCCATTGACGTTCCTGTACCCTTCGTTGCCAAGGCAGCCCTTGTCGGTGCGGCCGTTGCGACGAGTGCAGCTTCGACTGGTCTTATCCAGTGGGTCATGTCGCCCTATGTCACCAAAATCAGTCAGAACGGCAACGAGCTGACTTTACATACGCTCAGCTTCTGGGCCAAGGACCATCAAACAACTGTACCTATCGACAGCCTTGCACCTGCCACACGGATATTCACATCGCTTATGCTGACCGACCCTTCCAAGGCAACCGCTCAGGTTAGCGGAAAACCTGGTAAACCGAAAACGTTGTTTTATGTACATCCCGAACTATGTGAGGAAGATGGTACGGCTATCAAGGCTGTTATTGACAAGACTGGTATCGGCAAGGGATTTTAAGCAATAAAATGTAATAGAAGAAATGTAGCAGCAATGATATTACCTTGTTTATCTGTAACGCAAGATACGTATGTATGTATATTGACTATGTGTGCACAGGATTCTTCCTAATGGTTGACGGGGCCCTTGACGTTGGGGGGTGCTTTTGATTGGCGTGTGTTTCCGTACAGGTCATCATCACCACTGCTACTTGGGTTCTTGCTGAATCAAGGGATCAGACAATAGGCTCATGTGACGAGCGCTTGGTATTAGGTAGCGCTTTCTGGGTTATTGTGGTCAAATGGATACAGACGAACACTACTCAACTGTCGGGGAACCATGTCGTAGCGGTCTGGCCTCCATCGGTTGCCATCCTACCACACTTCTCCCGCCTTACACTTTTGACATTATGGCTTGTACTAGCTTGCCATCTGGCATGCCCACTGCCGCTGCAGATGGAGGTTTGGGGGCCTTGCCCTTGCGAAACGTGCCTGTTAAATGACACATAGGCGATTCAAAAGAGGCTCATTCAGCCGAGCGAGGCGAGGTAGCGACCGCGAGTATAACATAAAAAACACTCTATTCTCTAATTATGCTTATACGAAGAAACCAGGCGCATAGGATGTGCTTAAAGATCAACCAAGTGCGATTTTCAACCCTTTCGATAGAGCGCGACAGTGGCCGTGCTTTGTTGTCTGTAACGCTATGCGACACCAGAATGACGACAACATCTACAAATGTCATGACAAGGCTGGCGTTATATCCGTATGTGCTATAGGGTGATTTGGAATATGAAGACGAACTGGATCTATTGGACCTTGCGAGCAGTCAGGAACGAGTGACTTTAGAAATCGACGACGATGACGTCCAACAAGCAGCAGCGTTATCTTCTTTTCCTCACCAAAAGCAAAAGCAAAAAAAAGTATTGTCAGATCAAAAAGATCTTGAAGCTTATAAGAAAATAACTCGGCATTGGCATACAAGAACCTCCACCGTAACATAGACACTCGACCTGGCAACCGTCACTGGCTCCAAACCTTTGCCCCAACCTTTATCGCTACAAGAAGAAACTGACCAGAAACGCCACAACCTCCCATATGCTCTGACAATAGATGAACCTATTTTGAGTTGATTTGTATATCATAGATAAAAAACCATCATCGTAGAAAAACACAAGAATGCCGTATATCTATCATAAGTAGAAAAAAGAAAGATGCGATGCTGTGGGTTGTATACATTTGGGTGGTTGGGTAGTGTGTGGGTAAACGCGAGTTAAAAAATGGAAGAAAATCTACAGTGAAGACGAGTATAAGAGGATGAATGAGGGAGGGGGAGGGGAGGGGAGGGTTAAATCACATAATATCAGTTTCTTAGTTTAACCACGGGTGTGCCAGCACCGCGTGAATATTAGGTCGTTGATCCACATTGCGATCCAGCATCTTCTTAATCAGGCCCAGCGAGCCTAAATCGCGTAACACAAACAACAAACAAAAAGTCAAAAATGGGTGTTCCCTTGCATTTTTATATGAACAAGTTGACCCCACTTACCATCAGATAGTACAAACGGGACCCGCAGCTCGTGGCTCAAAATCTCGTCAATGTCATAAAATGGGTTTTCGCGATACACAAGCGTGTACAGCAAGATACCGAGCGCCCAAATATCCTGGGCCGGTCCCTCATACGTCTGACCCGCCAGGATCTCCGGTGCTGCATAATCCAATGTGCCCACAAATGTATCGTACCGTCGTCCTTTCAGATAGGCCGCGCTGCCAAAGTCAATCAGTCGCACACCCCCGTTTTGGTCCAGCACAACGTTTTCGTCCTTGATATCGCGGTGGACAATTTTGTTGTCGTGCAGGTGGCGCACAGCCTCGGCAATTTGCTTAAAAATATCCCGGATCTCGTCGTCCATCATGCCGTTCTTTAATTCGATATAGTCAAACAAGTCCATTCCAACGCCGTGTAAGCCCATAACGATGTAGTAGTGGTCGTCATCCTCGAAATAGTCGAGCATGTCGCTGCAATTCTTGTGTGGGATCTTGCGAAGCGTGTGCAGAATGTGGATCTCGACCGGAATGACACCGAGCTTGCGATCCTTGGTCCAGCAGTCTACCAGGATCCGGGACTTGATCACGTACTTGATCACAACCTTTTTCTGCTCTGGGTCATCCCTTTTGACTGCAAGCTTGACAAGGCCGTACGCACCTTGGCCCAGGTTGTCCAGAATCGTGTAGTCGTCTATCGTCGTTGCGTTTGTTTGTGCTGAATAGTCGGGTAATACTACTTGTGTGGATGGGGGTCGTGAAGAGGGTCGAGAGCGTGGTGTGCATGGTGAAATAGGAGACGACGGGACCGCAGCTCCGGGTGTTTGTGAAGCAGAGATATAAGTAGGTCGAGAGAAACTGGTAATGATGCGTGAAGGCCGCTCTTCAACTGCTGTCGTCGCTTCTTGCTTTGACTTTTCAGCTTTTTCTTCTATTGACTGTGGTGACGATGGGGTTACTACTGCTGCTGCTGATGTTGTTGTTGTTGTTTCTGATGCTGCCGCTGCAGGTAATGGCTTTTCTGGCTCTTGTGAGTCTGGTGCCGGATCAGGAGGAGGAGGCGGTCGTTTGGCTGCCGGTAAGCCTAATCCGTCATGTTGTTTGATTTCGAGTGGTGGATTATATGTTGAGTTGATATGGCCACATCGTGAAAAGGTCGCTTCTCGGTCAAAGGTGATCCACAAAGCACATAGGTCGTCTGAGCCTTCAACAAGCTTTAGCTGTAGCTGGATCTCGAATGGTGTTTTGTCACGATGAACGGCCAGTAAAACAGGTAGGATTTGACCGTTAGGAGCGTGCGTGAGACGTCGAATATTGCTGGTAGTGGTTTTGTTGTTGTTGTTGTTGTTGGCAGCGGCGGCATTAGGAAGAGACGACAAGAGCTTTTCATTGTCCATGTCTGCAATCAGTTTGCGACATATTAGGCTGTTGATAATGATGCCGTGCTGCAGCAGGTCGTCGCGCTGTAAGCAGCTGAGCAAGGTTGGTATTTGAGGCATCAAGTCTGCAATGTCGGTAGCTACAAGTTCTTCTTGTGAAAGACCAAACATGTACCTGGCAAAGACAGCATTGCAGCCTTCTATAGTGCCATCTTTGCGGATGGTCACGAGTCCGGCAATCATTGGTATCGATGTGATTCGCAGCGTGAAACACTCGGGCTCTTTTGATACGGTGTGTATTTTGGCAATGATGGGAAAATGCGCTCCAAGCTTTGTTCTGCTGCCAAAAAAGCGCAACCGGCTAATGTCTTGTACATGGTTAAGCGAGGGAATTAACATGTCAACTGACTTGCCGATCAGTTCGCCGGGTTCATAGCCGTAGAGCTCGTGGACACACTCATCTGTGTATTGGATGATACCCTGATTATCGATAAAACAAACCCGCGGAAGAGAGCAAGAGAGTCAATCGCTTTGCTCAGAACCATCTAATCTGTTTGAGATGAATGAGTTTCTTTACCTGCATGTTGACGGTGATGTGAGTGACTGTTTCAAACACCTCTTCAAAGATCCAGATATAGACCGGAGAGCCGGCATCGTTCCGCTTTTCCTTGAGCCACAGCGACGCAGCCGATCTGGAACCATCCTGCTTTACAATAGGTAGCTATATTTATGCATTCGGTATTTTATATTGTAAGCTTATTGTTGTATAATACTTGTTTCTTATCACCCGCGGATTGGATATACATAGAAAGGGCGCGTGCACATACCACGTTTCCGCAAACAAGAACCATTCCGCCAGTGCTGTCTTCAAGATGGCTGAGCTCCTCTCGTCGCCTTGTTACCATATCTAGGAAACGGTTTCGGTAGGATGGCTCGATAAAGTCGACAACGGATTTGCCCACGAGTCCTCGGCAGCTACCGCCTATACCCACCAGCACAAGTGCTGCAATGTCGTTTGAAAGTATGACTCGCCAATCGTCGTAGGTAGTTAGAATGGCTTGGTTCTGTGGCAGGAATCTGGATGTGTTGTGTAGTGCTGGATGTGGAAAGATGTTGGCGGATGTCGACACTTTGCGCTGGATGCCCGGTCGCTTTGTAGTAGTAGGAGCAGGGGGCGTAGGAGTTGTAGCAGCAGTAGAAGGGTTTGAGTCACTTTCCGAGGAAGAAGAAGAGGAGTATGAAGAATACGAGGAAGAGGAGATGTTTGTGTCGTTGATGAAAGCGCGCGACTCGGTATGATGACTGATGTCATGGTTATTGTTATTGCTATGAGAGAGATGATGGTGATCATGATGGCTGTTGTGGTTGAGATGCTTTAATTGTTCGGTGACGAGATCGACATCATCTGGTGTTACAGGCGATGCAGGCCTTGAGAGTTTTCCTTCTTGGATATCCGGCATAGGATTACTCCGTCGCCGACGTCGAGAGGCGCGATATTGCTCGACATTGAAGGATGCTACTGGACTGTATCCGACGCTCTTTGTTTTGCTCCTGCTGTAGGCCAAGTCGTTCGTGTCGTCGTTGTTTAACAGGGTGGATGGATGGTAATGTGCAGGAAGGGTGTCGGGCGTCTTGAGCGATGTGGATTTATGCTTCATAAAGTCAATTGAACGATTCATCAAGCTCTTGCGTATTTCGGCCAGATCTGTGCGGGTAGTTGCACTTGTGGATGATGAAAACCGGTAGCTGTGCAACGATTCTTGAGCGAATCTAACACTTTCTTTGGGCCGTTCGTCTTCAGGATGGTCGCGTAGCCGGATCAGGCCGTCTGCTGCTAATGATGATAGGTCTTCGAGGTCTTCGACGTCGTTGTCGTTCGGTCTATAGTGCACATTTTATTTGTTTGTGAGCGAGTCAGACAGTGTGTGTGTGTGTGTGTAGGAGTAAGACAGTAAAAGAGAGTGTGCAATGTATGTACCGAGGTGTAATGATGCTGGTTATATCGTCCCGTGCGTTCGTCTGGTTCACTACAAGTATACAAGGGGACAATGCGTCAATTGAGAGATTTGAATAAAAACAAGACCAATGCTGGAATGTGGTTGTCGCACCTGTGATTATGCTTTGCATTGGGGGGGGAGGAGGTGGAGTAACGCGCCTGAATTGAAGCTGTTAATATGGTTACGACCGGTGATGAAAAAGCGATCAGTAAAAAACCCACACACATACACAAGATCAGGATTGCAGAGACGTGATGAAAGAAGGGGGGGGGGGAAAAGGATTCTGAAAAGTTGTTGTACCTGTGTTGCGTGTATGTAACAAGAGCAGAGAGAGAGAGAGAAAGAGAGAGTAAAAGAGTTCGAAAGAGAAGGCAAACAATGTGTTATTGAGCAGACACACGCACACACACACAACACTCCTTTTTTCTTTATTCTTGAAAAAGAACTGCTGCTAATTGAATGGTTCACCAGCACACACGACAATTTTTTTTTTTCAACTTGCTGGTTTCGTATTCAGCGGATTTTCTCATTTGCGGCCAGGTCGTCAGCAACATCCCAGCAAGAAGTCAGAGCCCACGGATCAGCGTCAGTTGGAGGATGGATGGCCATCTATCAGTCTGAGGGTTTATCACCAAGCTTCTGCTTGTCTTTGCCCAATCCATCCGGTCGTCAACTAGACCATGACGTTGAAGTCACATGTGGGGGAGAGGGAAGGGGCGACAAAGGGTACCTGAAACTAAAAAAAAAAAACTAGTTCCGCGGAACGCAAAAAGGAAAGTACCTCATTGTTATTATTCTATTTGTTGTTGTTGTTGTTGTTCTTGCTTGATGACAAACAATCCAGCATTTCCCACATCATCTCATCATTGTGGCCGTCGTGTGTGCATCTTTGTCGTGCTGCAGTTGGATTGGTGCTCGATCACCTACTGTATCATCATCCCACTGCTTGTGAACAAGTGTGCAGCTTCATGTAAATTATCTCGGTGTGAGTCGGTGCAACAAACAAATGCGTAGAACATTTCGGCACAAAGAAGACAAACATGGCCACTAAGATTGACTCCGAAGCAATTTTTGCCCTGGAACAAATCAAAGAGAGTATAAAGAGAGTAAGAGAGAGAGAGGGCAGAGGCACTGACATCATCATCCTCAGCAGCAGGAGCAGCATGAGCAGCGTGAACCCTTGAAAGAAGGGTGGTGTTGCTTTGTGTCAAAATTCTTTATTAACACGCACGCACAAAAAGTGAATGATGCTTGGAGATCGCTGGACGGATTCTTCCATATTCTATGTTCTGGATGCATCTATTGGTTCCACCCTGTGTTACTCAACCTTGACAAAAATTAACCACATGTTTGTGTGGTAGTACACCCGTACTTGTTAAGGATGCATGTGTGGGACAAGCGAGACACAAAATGCATAAGGCCACTAATACTACCAGCAAAGTACCTACCATTACTGTATACCCTGAGCTTCTCGGCTCGTCATGTGGAAGACTTTTACAGCAAACGCTGGCATCTAGATATCTAATGCAAGATTTTCCTTTTGCGTGCATCATGCGACGTTTTAATATAACCACTACCTCTACCACCGCCAGCGCAGCAATAATGCCACGCGAAGAAATATATAAAGTATATACTGTATGCAGCATTTTATATAATCGAATGACGTTTAAGCACCCCTTCCCCTAATCCCTCCCCACGGCTCGGTCTCTTTTTCGCCAAAATATACCATTTTTAATGTTATTGTTGAAAAAGTAACCTTATCATTTTCTTCTGCTTGTACACACGTGGAAGCTTGACGAGTAATAATACTTCCACATATAAGTAAATGGCATGTTTCTTTATCTACCGATGATCAGAGGGTAGAAAAAAACAAGAATTACTCGATATAACGAACATGCATGTGACGGTTTGATGTCTCTATCCATGATGACGGTGAGGTCTTTCCCCTTGTCTCACGCACTAATGAGCTAAAAAAGCTTATGATAAACGCAAAAATACCGACCGATATACCCGATGTGGATTCTGATCGCATTGCCCTTCATGTGGATCATTTGATAACAAGTTGCTCGGTATGTATCATTGTTCGGTCCGCTCATGCATTCATCAAAGCATGATCTTGTAGACTAGTCTATACACAGCAATAAGAATAGAAGCGGGGATGGCATGTGATTCTTTAGAAAGTTTCAGTGTAGCATTCTCCCATTCTATTCATTCATCAGCTTATGTACTATTCCAAAGCAAACCGGACAAGATCAGAAGGAGTTGCCATAAACTGTGCTTTGAACCAGAAATATGTATATGCATAGCATACTAGGATTAGAAAGGTAAAGAAGCATTTCAAAACTTATCTTGCATCAAATCTTCTTTACCATTGATAGTACATATTCACAATGTCGTCATCCTTCTATAGAGTATGTACTGTATGTACATCAAACATGTACCGAATCGGGAGCTTAAAACGACAAGGATTTACCAGTCGGTATCTGGGAAAACAAACATACAGTATCAAGAGCCTGAAAGCTGACGATTGCTGGCTGATGAAAAAAATGCGGTGTCGAGTTCTTTCGTGAATCGATACTGTGTTTCTGAATAGTTTACTTGTTTGCATAAACCTACGGTAGACAAATATCTTATCATTGTCATTTTGACAGCGATTACATACAGTAGTGGATGGCACATTGGCACGTCTTGAAGCCAAGGCAAAATTATGGCCATTCGAAGATAACCACAAGTGACTCTGGATGTGGAAAAAAAATGGCAATTGTCGCTGGAACGTTACTCGTGACTTCAAGTTCGATATTGGGTGTTAAACACCAACACCTTCACGGCGATAAGCTTATGGTTTGATCAATGTGCGCAAACACGGATCAGCATCTCATTGTTTACTACGACAGCCTTCAGGCCAACTTTTGATAAATCATCATCGTCGTACTTACGACGGCTACAGATATTTGCAATTTTGGTATTTTTAAAGTAACAAGCTTATATACAGCGGTTCACAAGTGCCTTCTTGAGATATCGAATTCCATGAAAGGTGATACTATAGGTGTGCATTGACAAAGACACAGTGTCGAGCTTTTGCTTATCATTTTTTTATCGAATGAAATAAACACATTTCTATAAATCATCTAGTAAATGAATAAAGCGATTTTTATTATATGCTGTGCAAAATAGCTGTTCTTTTGATAAGAGTGCTCGGGAAGTGTATTATAAATTATGGAAATGGGAAACTTTTACGAAATGAGGATGCTTCTGATAAGAGAATTGAATCAATAAGTCTAGCTTTTTAACGGAAAGTGGAAATTTTATCCTTGTATTATATGTGATTCCTCACAACCACAATCACGTACAGCATTAGAAACTGATTTGCCGACGAATAAACAAATTGAGCCATATTTTGAAAAGCATGTTCACTCATACCAATCAAGCTATCATACATTGGGACAAACTGGATGACAGAGTTTAATAAAATTGTACCATGACAAGCAAAATCCAACCAACCAACTCATTCTATAAAAACAGGTTGGCCACGAAGCGGAAAGGTTTAGAAGTAATAAAAATGTGTGGCAACCCAATTTCTTTTACACAATACATCGTACAAACAGCCTATTTAGCAAATTGAGCGAATCGTCGTCTCAACAAATTGTTGAGACGACGCCGCGCTCCGAACTCAAAAAGGAAAATGTGTGTCACATTTATGCAACGGCAATCGACTTGAGTTTGGAAAAGCAGAAAATGTATCATTTTTTCTGCACCTGTCTATGGTTCCAATAGTACAGATAGGTTTCGCTGAAAAACATGTTCTTAGAAGATGCGAGTTTAATCTGATCGTGTTTAGAATATAATAAGAACCACAAAAAATATAAAGAAACCAATCTTATTAATTTTCTTTTTTTCGATGGACAACAACTCCCGTTTATCACTCATTCACACTAATCGCGAGCAGGGTACCCAACGCCGTCGCCGTATCAGTGAACGAAGACGTCGACTGTTTTGGCTTCTTATGATTACTATGGCCGAAGCATCGCTCCAAACATTAGGCTTCCTTCCAGAAGTGTATGCTTATATTGGTTCCCCTCTCCATTTTCGCCAAGTTCGTGGTTCATGTCAAGCAAAGCGATCTATGGACTACTGGAGAATCGGGCACAAGAACTTGACGGATGACGACAACCCACGAAACAGCTACAAGGCTCATTATCGTATGAACAAGGCTACGTTCAATTGGTTAGTGGATATGCTGTCGCAAGATCCAGCTTTTCAGCGTAACTCTCCTCGTGCCACTCCACCGTACATTCAAATTGCTTGTGTTCTATGGCGCTACGCAAACACGCATCTTGGATACCGTTTGTTTAGTACTCGTTTTGGTTTCTCGCTAGGTTTGTACAGGAATTTCAGCCGGAACTATATGCAAGCAATGGTGAACATACTCGGAAGGATGATCCGATGGCCGCGAACCCCGGAAGAAATACAGAGAAACGCAGACGACTTTGCGAGAGTAGTTTTCGCATCGGATCGAACAAGAGCGGTAGCAAGACTCAATTTGGTAAATGTTATTGGGGCTATGGATGGGAAGCTAGTGTTTATCCACAAGCCAAATCATAGTGGGATAAGCTGGATGGATCGCAAAAACCATCATTCAATGAACCTCCTTGCTGTATGCGATGCACAGCAGCGGTTTCTGACGGTTTATGTTGGTGAAAAGGTAACGTTCAAAAATCACAACTTTCTTTCGTAATTGTATCCTTGCTAATATATTGTCATGATACAAGGTCGTGCACACGATTCTCGGGTGTTTGCCAATTCGGATCATGCAAGAGATTTAAAAAATGATCCAGATACCAAACGTCCAAATGGCTCATACATTATTGCAGGAATGTAAAGACGATTTATAAATTATGTCTACTAACAAGTTTATGCTAAATATACTTTTTGCATTTAACAGATTTCGCTTATCCTCAACGCAAGTACATTATGACACCTTATCCAAGAAACACACGAGATCGAGCCAAGAAAGACTTTAATTATGCTTTATCGTCACAGCGTATGGCAATTGAACATGTATTTGGTGCGCTCACTCCGCGTTGGCGATTCCTTAAACATTATTTGTACCAGTTGAACCCTGTAGATTTCGCCACCACCATCTATGTCTGCTGTATCCTCCATAATATCTGCATCGATTGACCGGGCAACGAACTCCCGGATAACATTGATGACTTGATCAGGAGCTTAATGACCATCATTTTGTGAGCATTGCCGAAGTCGACGCGCATTGTAGAATAGCCGAAGAAAATGAAGATAGTAATAATTGCCGAAACCGCAACAGTAAACACGGAATCAAATACTTCCAGCCTGCCGTCTATCTCTGTCGAACAAGACGACATTTTAACCGAAGCTAAAGTACGGGCAGCTACGTCAAGCAGGGAATGCCAAACGCGACATACTGAAGGATGAGTTACAAGCACGTCATTCTGGCCGGCGTCAAGCATAATAGGTTCAATATAACCACAATAATATACGTTTTTGAAAACCCAATTTGTTTTAAGCATATCACTTGTCCGAAATGGTCTGTTCAAGTTTACTCTCGATTTCCGATGCATGAATTTATTGCGATCGATTCTTTTGTTTTTCTAGAACCAATAACCCTCGCATTGGTTCCGCAAAGTATGAATGCGATAAGTCGTTATAGTCTGTACAAGTGTCAAATAATTTGTGATATGCTAAGCAACACAAATAAATACATTTATTCTTCAATGTTCTTTTGCTGTCCATAATTTTGACTACGGGTGGATCCTACAAGTGCTGCAATTACATCTGCAATCCGCTCCTCTGCTCTGACCCTTCTTTCTTCTAACTGTTGTTGGCTGTTAGCTCTTCTGTTTTCAAGATCGACCATCGCTTAGAGCTGCTGCTTAAAAAACGTCGCTCATCGACCGCTTTGTGCTCTGCGTCGAATGTCCGTTCTTGTTCGGTGAACTGTTCGAAAATGCTGTCAAGTTTTTCGAACAGCTGTTCAAGGCCCCGCTCATGCGCCTCCAAAAGCTCACTGCCCAAGTCGTTGTTACTGTAACTCGTCGTCGCTGAGCTGGTGGCTATTCCGCATCATCTGTGACAGAGTTGCCAGCATTTGCTTCATCATGAGTTCGAACCAGGTTGCCTTGACGATTTGAATCGATCGTTACCGGCGCTATCACACTAGCATCATCTTGAAGAAACGCCATCATCGCATCGTAGTGAGAGAACCTCTCTTGATTAGGGTCCTCCCATTTCTAGTCTGATTCGTTTCCCTAGTGAGTCTTTGGAAGCGTCGAAGGAGCTTATACCATTTCTTCTTGCAAGCACTTCTGCTACGTCGAAGTCCAGAACTAGTATCCTCAATGAACTTGTTGTAGATCTTGTCCCACCATTCACCTTTTTCTTGGTTGCTTTTACCGTTCTTCTAGCGAGCATAGTATTCTTCCACAGTGCGGATCAACTCTGATTCTTCTTCTTCCATCCAGTCAGCAGTCGATTCTTCTTCCCTATCATCACCAGAGTCAACTGGATCGAGGTCAGAACCTTCGCTGGCTTCAACCGTTTCTGATTCTTGCTGTTGGGTAGTGGGAGGTGTTTATAGGATAGGCTGGCTACTGTTTCTTCTGTTAAAACCTTGCATAGCAGGAGACCAAATAATAAAATTGGCGCTCATGATAAGAAAAGAAGATAAACGAAGTTGATGTATAAGGATAAAATAAAAAAGGGATAGATTTCGATGATAGTTAACGTTTATTATTTCTTTTTTCTGTCTATTTATATAGCCAGGCTTTTGGTAGGCATTTATAATAAGGAATGAATTCATTCTATACTGTTTTGATGGTCAATCGTCTTTTTTTGTTCAATATCTTTTAATACTTCTTGAAGATGTGGACGAAAACAGTAATAGCATAGTTCGAACGCCCGCAAAATTGCTCTCAAAATGTCTGTACAGACCACGACAGTTTTGGTAATATGTTACTTCTAATTTGGGAGATAACTAATAGCAATATATTAATGAGAGAATAACTGTTTTTTTATATATTGTTAATTAGTTTTTTTTATATAATGAAAGAAATTTGATTATCGTGTGAATTATTTTTATAATTATTAATTTAAATTTTTTTATTTTGTTACCAATAATTTTTTTTTCTACCAATGTGATTTTTTTTAAACAATAATTAATACCAATACCAATATGTTGGCGCTTGGTGGAATAGTAATAAGCATATCCCTCCTCTAGGCTAAACCATTAGGTCGACGCCCGAAGAATCGAAGATTCTGAGCTCGACTAGAATAGAAGAATATCATAATTTTGTTATTTATAACAAAAATTATAGATATTGTTTATTCGCCATTGAGACCCCGTCTGGACGGGCTTCGCCCTTTTTGAGAGCACCCTAAGTGGCAACAATGTTACCATAGTATCCAAAGAGAAACGAAAAGGAGACTAGCTTACATTCAGAAAAAGCACCAGCAGCGTACAATACAATCAAGGATGGATACAACATGTTGGTGCATAAAAGTACAGAAGTGCGAAACTTACTACGAAAATCCACAAGGGATCAAGAGAAGAGGGGTATTATTATTCCACATGCAGCTTTCATTCATCTATGGTTAAGTGCGCACGTATTGCCTCTTATCACAGCACTTCCAGGCGTGA